TTGTGGGATGGAGATGGTTCAGCCTGTGGAGCTAACTCGGGACGAGGCTTCTGCTGGGATGTGGAGGTGTCCCAAGAACCGGATGGACCTCAGTACCCATTCTCAGGCCTGGATGACCGAGAGAAGTGGCCACTTGTTTTCTTCAATAGGACATGCCAGTGTACAGGGAACTTCATGGGCTTCAGTTGTGCTGACTGTAAGTTTGGTTTTTCTGGGGTCAACTGTAATGAACGCAGAGAGTCCCTAAGGAGGAATGTTTTTCATTTGTCTCGTGCTGAGAGGATCCGGCTTATATCCTATCTGAATTTAGCCAAACAGACTATCAGCCAAGACTATGTTGTTCCCACTGGCACCTACCAGGAAATGGAAAACGGTTCAACTCCCTTATTTGCTGATGTGTCTGTGTATGATGTGTTTGTGTGGATGCATTATTATGTGTCTCGAAATGCCCTCCTGGGTGGGCCTGGGAATGTCTGGGCCAATGTAGACTTCGGACACTGGGCACCAGCCTTTCTGCCCTGGCACAGGGTCTACCTCCTGCACTGGGAGCACGAGATCAGGAAGCTGACTGGAGACATGACTTTCTCCCTCCCGTACTGGGACTGGCGAGATGCACAGGGCTGTGATGTGTGCACTGATGAGCTGATGGGGGCCAGACACACCCAGGATCCCAACCTCCTCAGCCCAGGATCAGTCTTCTCCTCCTGGAGGGTAAAGTGGGCATACCTTTTACTTACAGGCACTTACATACATAATGCATGAGTGGGTCTAATTTCTGGTTAAAACCTTTTAGCTCCAACCCACGTTATGAATTATTAAAAACCTGTTAAGGGCAAGAAAGCAAGCATTTTAAATACACATTCTGTTTACTGTTTTGAGTAAACTGGCTGCAGGGTGCCAGATTTGGCCTAACTTTGGGAGACATTTTGATCCCAGTACACGGATTGTTAAAACATTTAGATTGTCTCAAATTTATCAGGTAAGTAGAACTGTATAATTCATTACTAATTAGAGATATACAAGATAACATCTGATTATTTCTAAATGAACACTGTTATAGTCGCAGCACTAAATAGGCGCAGCACTAAATAGGTGATATTAATTCATTTATATGCTGCACATATTGGCTGCTACACCTTTCTTTCTTCACTACAAATCTATTATTATTGTTTTACATCATGGGCATCATGTGTGTGTCCCAGGTGCTGTGCTCTCGCCCTGAGGACTACAACAGCAGAGGCGTGCTGTGTGATGTTCGTCCAGAGGGTCCACTGCGTCGTAACCCTGGCAACCATGACCGAAACTTAGCTGAGCGGTTACCCACATCTGCAGATGTAGAGTTTGCCCTGAGTTTAACGAGTTATGACACCGGGGCTATGGATCGGACTGCTAACATGAGCTTCAGAAACACGCTGGAAGGTCAGATAGAAGTGGGCTAATAAACCTCCATCTGTTTCTGTTTAACCTTGATGGAGAATTAATCTGTAGCAAGGGTTCTCAAAGTGTAGAAACGGTAGTGATATGGGGACAGTATTCTGTACATATTGCTGATTTATAACTGATTCAGTCATGGTTTATTACTGATTTATTATTGGTTATTTCCTAGTAAATTCCAGGTTTAGTCTTGGTTTTCTGCTGGTTTAGTTCTTGTCCATTCCACTGAAGTATGCGTCAATTGCATAGAGTGAGTTTCTGTCAGGAGAGATTAAAAAGTAGGTTATTACCTTAGTAGTAGGTTAGTAGTACCGTAACCTTATTACTGTTATTGATCTGCTTCTGATCTGGGTAAAGTATGCAATTTATCTCTGGTTAGAGTAAAAACTTAATTAGCCCATAATCTATGGTGGTTGATCCCTGTAGGACTTGGAGACCCTCGCACTGGGTTGGGTAACAGCAACCGTTTGTCTCTGCACGCTGCTCTCCACATCTTCATGAATGGGTCCATGTCATCTGTCCAAGGATCTGCCAACGACCCCATCTTCCTCCTTCATCACGCTTTTGTCGACTGGTAAGAACACCGTAGTAGACAAGAGTGGATAAAGTAAAAATGCTGATAAAAGTACATGAAGGTACAAAGTACAAAAAGGTTCATTGCTCAAAAACACCACAAAATATGTATTCTTACTATGAGTGGAGCAGTCTCTGAGATGTGATCTGCAATTGGTGTGCTAGAGTCATTTGTTTGTCCCCACTTAGATAAGATATGTTCCATGTCATATTGTGGAATATTCCAACCACAGCAGTAACATCTCCATGGGGACAAACAGGTGACAGACTTGTTAATTCACCAGAAATGCTATACATTGTACCTTTCAATAATGCTTTTCATTACATTTTGTCAACTTTGTGTCAGTTTCTTTTTTGTTGATTTGACAAAAAATGGCTCAAGTTATTTTTATCTTCCCTCTATGAAAGTCACCACTGCTAACCATTCACCTATATTATATACAGAAATTATATATATCCATATTCCATATTTCCATGTTTTCCATGGTAGTATTTACGAGGAGTGGATGAGGAGGCACAGGCCTGCTCTTTCCCAGTATCCTGAATCAAACGCTCCCATCGGACACAACGGAGGATACTTCATGGCGCCCTTTCTGCCTCTGCACAGAAACAGAGAGTTCTTTATCTCCAGCAAAGACCTGGGATATGAATACTCACATCTACTGAGTGCTAGTAAGTTTGACTGTAATACTATTTAAAGCTTTTAGTTAGTCAAGAACTCTAATTTTGTTTGAATGCATAATATGATGGTGCCTTTGACAATTTGATTAACCTCAAACAACAAACTACAGAATACACTTTTTTTAAGATCTACTTAATGATGACAACCCCCTTAATCCATCCCCTCTCTCTTCTTCTCAGACCAGCAATTGTCAGAAGCCATTCGTCCGTACCTGGAGGAGCTGCAGGAGGTGTGGGGATGGTTGGTGCTGGCAGCTGTGTGTGGAGGGCTCCTGTCTTTGGCTTTGGCTGCAGTGGTTATTCACACGAAATACAAGTACAGCGCACCCACCTGGCTGCGTGCGCATAAATGGAGAAACTTTTTTGCTCTTCCAGAGAGAGAGCCACTCATTTTCAGCCCTGAGAAAGAAGAGACAGGGTATAACTACCAGAGTACAATGTGACGCATTCAGAATATTAATATGAAAGCGCTGTTAAACCTACTGCATTTTATTGTATCTTTTTTATTTCTATAACCTCAATTCTGAAAATGTTGGGATATTGTGTGCATTAAGAGGTGTTATAATATAGTGAAGTCTCTAGCATAAACTGAGCTGAAACTTAAATGACTCCTTGGGCCATGGCACAGGGGACAGAAGAACAAAAGTGCATTTAATTTTTAATGCCATTTAAATCAGAGAGAGAGCATGTCTGAGTGAAATCGTCCCATTTCCAATGTCTGCTACTAATACTGCTCCTTCTACAACTTAGTGGACTATTTTTGTTATAGCTACAACTAAATATGAACATTTTTAGAGACCATCTAATTTGTTCTGCTATTCCTGCTTAGTTTCCACCCATTATATTTAATATTTTTCTTTAAATGGGTAATTTGAAAGTATGTGCGTTTATAAAAAGGTGAATGTAATAAAGTCTTTTTTTTTCGCAAGAGATTCCCGATATATATATATTTTTTCTTTCTGTTGCATCATAGTGCCCTTAAGTGTCTGATGAAATAGTGGCAGCACAAAAGGCTGGAGTTCTATTGTTAAATCCATGTAGAAGTTCACAGAGCAGACATTTGATTAACATTTTAATGGATTCATGTTTGAAGATTTTAAGAAGGAAATATCTCAACAAAAAAGCCAAACAGTTTGAGACACCTTCACGGGGCATGAAGTTTGGGGACATTTGAATTTTTTTGAGCAAATTATTTAAAACAGGTAAGAATACCGCGTGACATTTGTAAAAGTCACAGCTATGTGGTTCAAACTCTTCACTCCAAAGGTCACGCAGTGCTTTTCATGAGAAGTCAGTGGGGAATATCAAATCCAAAGTAGTTGAAGGAGTACAAGTCTACAGAAAAAAAAAAAAAACAGCATTTAAATCTCACAAGTGGAAGATCATATAAAAACATGGTTTGTTTAAAAAAACTAAACAAAAAAGCAATAAAAACAAATCTCAGTAAAATCTCAGATCCAATGATTTCAAGGTCAGAAACTACTGAAATACAAGAACAGTAATTCCTTAAAAAACACGGGGAAGTAAATTAAAACCAAACATACAGCAAATTATCTCAAAAGTTTATTTTGGGTATTTTGTTTTTCACAGGATCCCAATTGAAACTGGCAATGGTCTTTGTACATTCTGCACTTTGATGCATGCTGCTGCAAATTATACAGTATTTTACAGTACTTTTCCGCATTCTCACATATTTTACATTCTGATAAAAATAAACATGAAATATAATATAATATGTTGGAAAAATAAAATAACATTTTGTACAACATGCAATTTACAGAGTGAATCGATGTTGAATCATTACAGGTTAATACAATCAAGACTCAAGGGATTTTTATAACCTGATCTTTAGATTTTGTTACCCTTTTGTTTAATAAAAAAAATATAACTGACATCAGACATACAGTGTTTATGGATACAGTACATAGTATATCACAAAAACAACTAACAGGACAATGGATTATAAAGAATTACCAGCAAATCTGATGAATAACTGTAATAGATCATATTGAGAGAAGGTAAAGAGGCATAAAAAAGAAAAACAAAACCAACTGTGGTACTTAAAAGGTGCACTAACTACATTCGCCACCTGCTCCTCCACATGGAGATGGTATTGCATTTCATCATCTCCAAGGAGACAAGCAGGTGACACCAACAGGCTGGGTTCCAGGTCAGATCTGCGGAAAGGAGAGCCCAGAATTTTAGTCATCTGGAATTGAATAAATGCAAAATATATTAGTTACTCATCTACATGGAGACAAGCAGGTGACAGACCCCCCTCCAAATCAAAAAAGTCATAGTGCACTTTAAAGTTGAATTAAATGGAAGAACAAAAACTTTATTTGCAGTATTGTGCAAATGTCTGAGAGCTTTACGGTTATGCCATGCAAATGTCAGAAAAAGGTCAATAATGGGCTGAAGACAAGAGAAAAATGATTAATTGTAGTATTACAGATCAGAGCGCCTCCACACTCCTGCTCTGTCTGGGCATAGAGCAAAGATAAGTAGAAGCCACTGGACCACTGCTTGACTCCTACAAGTGTTTTTATCCCAATGAGTGCTTTTGAAAACTATGTATTTTATAAAAATAACACTACAACGAAAGTTGGTCCAAACACTGAAGTGCTGAGGAGCAGAGGGTAAAAATGCGAAAAGATTTTGACTTGTGGAAAGGTGAAAAATGGACCGCAGTTTTGTATCCGGTTAAAAATATACAGACACGTTTTGTGGTAATTTCAACTTTCATCCTCTTCGTCACTTTCTGCATGTTTTTTCTGCTCAGTGTCTTTTGGTGCAGCAGGAGGAGGAAGGTCCAGGCGAGCCCAAGACATGGGCTCTGACTTTTTCATGGCGATTTCGATCTTAGACGCCATCATGTTGACCTGACTCTTGCTAACATCAATCACCTTAAAGGGAAAGGAGAGCATAAAGAGAGGGTTAGAAGAATTAGAGTGTGGTTTAATTATTTATTAACCTCAAATACAAAGTTCAAAGAGATGCACGAGATACAACAGTTATAGTACTTACTCCCCAGAGGCTTATTTTCTGCTGGAATTCCTTCTCTCCTTCAAATATAACGTGAATGTTGAGCTGTGGGAAAAATGGAAAACATATTTTAAGTTTTGTCTGAATACTTATTTATTTGTAAATAAAAATATGAATCAACATTTTTAATAACATTTCCATTTTCAGTCCCTTGACAGGTTGATACCAAACAGTCTACAGGACAGGAGCAAGGATACAAGGACAAGGACAACACAGCAACACAATCACACAAATGCAAATTCAACACACCAGCATCATCATTCTACATACAATTTTAAGAATGTGTCCTCAGTACCTTAAAACTATGGGAAAAATTGAATTAGAACTATAGCACCAAATTTAAAAGTCAGAATTTACACTAAAGGTTGTCTCTAAAAGTTGTCTCTCTTCATGTGGCCTCCTGTATTTATCCAGTACTAGTATCTTGAGAAGGTGATTGGCAGAATATACAGTACTAAAAACAGGCGGTATGTGAAGGAGGAACATTGGGGAAAAAAAAAACAAAAAACAAAAAACTCTAGTTAACCTTTTCATGGGGGATAAATGGTATAATGATCTAGAAGCATTTGTTTGGTCTTAACATTTTGTGCAGGGTGTTATATCACTCTGGGGAACTTAATATTCACATCTTCATAAGTGATGTTAAGTGATGTTAACAGTCTAATATGCCAAACCACAAAAACAACATCAATGCCCAATGTTTTCAAGTTCCGTATAATACAATCACTTACAGTGGTGCTGTTGGCATCCACGTAGCTCTGTTCTGGGATGGAGTTCTTGGCATAGATTGAAATGATGACCTGAGCTCCTGTTTGGTGCCAGTCAAAACGACACGGGACAACTTTGAGACCCTACAAAATGTAAAAAATACAAATTATAAAGTAAATAGTGAAGTCATCTAATTTGTGCCTAAAATGTGTCTTTTAAAGATTATTATGTGCTATTATGTGTTGACTTTATGTGTGTGTATTTCACACCACTAGATGGAGTTACAGAGGTTTACCAGCCTCCTTTTTTGATAGACACTACAGACAGATGTCTAACGGCATTGCCTACCGCATCCTTTTTCCTCCATAGATGTGTCCCCTTGGTACAGCCCTCCTGGGAGAGGAAGGTGTTAAAATCAGACGTTTTCCGCTTGCAGCAGCTCCAGTATTTCATCCTGTCCAAAAAGCAAAAACAGGGACTGTCAATAACATGCTATTTTAGACAAGTTGTAAACAACAGAATAGATACAGAAAAACACTAGCTGTTCCACAGCAAATTTTTGCTGCCAACAGAAGCATACTTGCTACTCAAAACATGTGAGTCAAAGAGGAAGAAAATCTATTTGAGTGTAATACTAACCCTTCATGGAAGATTGGGCATCCAGAGTGGTACATGCAAGTTTCTGAATCACTTGCAGGGCCTTCAAAACTCTAAAAGCAAAAAATGTTGAATTGTTAAAATTACTATAAAACATATTTTACGAAACCACGTGTTCAAATTCCAGACTGAATAAAACAAGGCTTTCTATTTTGAACAAAAACATTTAATGAGAATGAGTGTAGGCTAATAGCTTGTTTCCAGTTTGGGACCCCATTCTAACTGATTAATAAACCAAAAAAGCAGTCCTTGAGAGAATGCGGCATGATTTCAATCAGTTGATGAACAATTATGGAAATAATGAAATCTCCACTTCAATGTCTCTCATAACACATCTCTGCAAATCTACTTGAGAAACCTATGTTCTTGCCTTTTTCCCTCTCGGTGTAAAGAGCTAAGCTCACCGATGTAGAAGGAGGAATGTGTAGGCGGACAAGGCATAGAATAGGCTCTACAAACTTACTGATGACCTCTATAGAAAGTGCTGCTACTTCAAAATCTTGAATTTTAATGATATAAGTCAAATATTACTTGCTACTACTTAGATACTTATGCAATAGTCAATTAAAAGGAACTATATCTTCTATACTTGGGCTTCAATGTTCTGTTTATAGGTGATATTATGTTACATTATGAGGCTGTTTGTCTATTCAAAACATACATTTTGTTTTCAATTGTTGATTTTTAACACTCAAACCTATGAATAGACAGATTTTAGGACATTACTTGTTGATGTTACTAATACGCAATACTGTGAATTATTTTTCTTATTCTTCTATTCTTTTTTATTTTTAAACCAGCACTATATTTTTTTTATCCTTTGAACAAATAAAATTCACAAATGTACGTATCATAGTGCAACTCATTCATAAGTTAGCTTACTAACTTTAGACCATTCAAAATGAAATCCAATATGACAAGATGAGTCACTATAATCCAACTCAAAGTGAAGAGGAAGATAAAATGAGGCAAGAACTTTTGAATGTGTATTTTTGTCTCCAAAAGAAGATTTTTGGCTAACAGACATCAAGTTTGAGCAGAGTAAAATTTTGAATCCATTTCCAAAAACACAATCCATAAAGTGCTGTATCAACTCTATTTTCACGGCCCAGGCCTGAACAAACAATCTACAGAGCCCCAGAGCTTCAGACAAGTGTGAATATGTATTACACCATGACATGTTGACCTACTTTAGTGCAGCCCCCATTTTTACAGGATGTTCCAATCTTGATCTCGTCGCTGTCTTCCTCTGGAGAGACACAGAAAGATGCTGTCAAAGAATTGACACTTAAAACTCTGAAAGCATCTCAAAGAGCCGGCGCCTGACGTGTGGGCCTGTCCCGTCAACTCTTCATCAAAACTATAATGTGAATGACACTAGTGATGACATATTCCCCATTGCAAACCATTCCAACCCCGCTGTCAAAATGTCCTTGCTGTCTACTGGAGATGTATGGCAGCCTTTGGAGAGGAGGACAAAAGTTACCCGCTGCACAGATGTATTGAACAAGAAAGAAAGTGCATGAATAAAGTATGCCCACCTTTCTTTTCAGCCGCGTTCTCCGACAGCTTCAACTTTTCTAGAGCTGTTTTTAGAGACGAGGCGACTTTATGCTGCAATCTCACCATCGGCTCATCGGGACTGTGGGAGACAGATACGGGGCCATCAGCTGTCATTGTAGCAGCAGTGTGGTCTATGGCTTCTGTCAGTGGCATTGTGTGAAAACTTGGTCCACTTTTATCTCTCCTTTCTCTTTCAATGAACAGCATTTGAATTGATCTTTTATTATATAAAGTGGACAATGAGCATTACAATGTCTTGGTTACTGCCCACAGCCTTTGTAAATCCAAGTGGAAGCTCTGTCTGCATGGTTCACTCAAGCCCACACACCTCCACACATGCTCAATGATTTCACGTGGATTAAATACCGCTTCATACTGGTTATCATATAGATTGACCAACAAAAACAAATTAGATTTACCTGCCTCATTTATGGTATATTATTACAACCCTGACAGACTTGACCAACATTGCTTATACTGCCACTTTCCTTACTTTATTAGACAGTAGTTTGGAAATATTTTCTAATCAAGAAAGAAATCTGTCATTTTAATTAATTCAATTACAGCCAAAATTGAAATAGAAATTAAGCTTAGTATATTTATCATACCAAAGTTGTGTCATACTCATACTGTTGTCAAACAGTTATACTCTAGCCATACCCAATACAAAACCCTGTTTCAGCATTTATCATTCATACATCAACCAAACTTGCCATCTCTAAAACTATTGGACCAATTAAAAACTGCCATACCTTGGTCTGTTTATTGCATCGATAGGTTTCGGTGCAGAGATGATGTACTCATTAAATTTTGGTTTCAGTTCTTCTGCCTCTTTCTTTTCTCCAGACGACTTCACATCTGGCTTCACCGGCTCTGGGGGCTTCTCTTTGTTATGAGACCCCTTTGTGCAGCCCTGCAAGTACAATGTCCATGTCTCAAGGTCAATACCACTGCTGTAAAGAATAGACAATGGGAACCAACAAACCAATGTACAGATTTAAAGATTTAAAGTGAACTTACAGCAATGCTGAGAAAGTCTGAGAAGTCAGTAGTTCTTCTCTTGCAGCAGGACCAGCCCTTGGGAAAGCAGGCAAAATGTATATTGACTAAAGAGGAAATCAAAAAAGCAGATGCCAGCTTGCTACGCATTATAGTTGTTTACCTTTAATGCATCATGGAACACTGGGACTCCTGGATGATAGGTACACCCATCTGTGAAAAAACAGATTTGATTTAATTAAGATTAAAATAAGTTTGGTGAAGCTACCCACATCAGTAAGCTAAAAGCTCTGATGTGAGCAGCTATGGTAGAAAATTTGTTTTTGCATAGATGTAAAACAAACAACGCAGATAAACTATTCATTCATTTTAGTGTCTTTCTGTTTTAAATGTCGTAATAAAACCATATTTCATTAGCTTCTGGCTGGACTGTCACCAGACTAACCCTGGTCTGAGGGAACCATTCATAATCAAATTCATCAACTAAAAAAACAACACTGACCAGATCAAGTACACATGTCACATACATCTGTGAAGAACCCAAAAATCTTACGTAAAGAAAAATTTATTTAACTAATAAGCAAGTAAATATAAGCGTCTTTTATTTCAGACAATAGCAGACTAAAGCAAAACAAGTTTAGCAGATGTCCCCAAAATTAAGTTGTGTGTCCCACAGAACTTGTATAAATCAAAACCCTAACAACTGACTTGACAGTAAAGGCTTGAATTACAAAGCTCCATGTTTCAGTCAGTCTCTGAGACTGTCTTTGGAGACAAAACATTGATGTTAATTCAGAGATTTAAATAACTTTAACAACACTATAAATCAACTATATTCTTTGTGGTTAAGTCAAGTCCCCTCTGCACCCTTGTCTGTGATATACCACCAAGAAATCCCTCATGCCAGATAATAATATGCTCCATTTGATATGAAAGTGGCATCTTATTAAAATGGAAATTAGACCTGACTGAGTGTTTGTTATAATACTTGAAGAATAAGGAGGAGGACATTTCTAAAGGATGTGGATGGTGAATAAGAGACTCATTTGAGGGTTTTGCTGTGTGAGCTACATGGACACTTTGAAGTTCAATTATTTTAGATAAAGGGTTTCAAATAAATATGGGTGACACAAACATACTTTTTACACAAAGCTTCATTTTGTTGAGCCAGATACTTTAATCTTTAACCAGCTGTGAAAATGTTCTGTGTCCTACACACCAGTAAAGAAAGCTTATATCATGATCAGATTACAAAGTAGTTAATGTTTATCATAGATATATTAACTATAATATTATTGTATTTTATGTGCAATTTCTTTCTCAATTTCAACTTTCTCCTAAAATAAGCTTTTCCTATGTTGTTTAGCCCTGAAGTTGGGGATGACATGAAAATATGAATTTCTAAGCTAAATTAATTGAAGGTGCACGATGTAAGCTTTTTGGTGGTAACACGTAACATGTTTGGATTATGAAAAAGTGATTAATTTTTTGTTTTTGTTTTTAACTGTCAATAATACCTAATTACCAATAATACCAATTACTAAATTGTATGCCATTTTATGGACTATTCTAGAAGATTACAGACACTGCACATTTTAAGTTGGGAGCTGTAGTTAAGCAAAAGCATGTTTGATTCTGTAATGTTTAATATCTGATAATGAATAAGGGACTGGGATCTGTTGCAATAGTACAGCAGATCATTAAAAATGTAAAGATGCCAAATGACAAAAAAAGCATCAGGTTACAGTTTGCTGTGTTAAAAGAAATACTCTGTTTAACAAAACAAATTTCTGTTGCACAAGAGATATCCTGGCCATTGTTGCCCATTCTTCATTTATTATTCTGACAAAAGCCTGGCTGTAGATTTCAAGACACTTTTCCAAAAACAGTAGGTTTTTAAAGTGTCTACTACTGAATTTCCGTTTACCGTAATGTGATAAAGTCTATAATCACCACTTTACTACTTACTTCAGCAAACAACTCGTCCACTCGAATTACAATTATGCTACATGAGATATGTTGAAATGGCACTTGATATTATACAAGATAAGTTAGTATGGGTGACCTGTGCTGTCTACATCATGAATGAATGTACTGGATGGTTTGGAATATTCCAGACAACATGAGGTTAGCATAGCATGAGGTAAAGCTGTAGCTGTAACTCACCTTCGGGGTTATTTTCAGGGTCAAATCGCTGACCACATCCCTTATTGTAACATAGCGCAGACATGATGGAAGCTGAAATACTTTAGAGGTCTCGTTAAATGTGCAACAAACCCACACAAAACTGGGGTGACGATAAAAACAGAGTGATACGCTCACGGCCGATAGTGTGCCTGTCTGAAATGCTCCGTTGTGGACCGACTTCCGGGTGTTTTCGGAAACACTCGGGGACGCTCGGCAAGCTCCGGTGCTCTCCCAACTCGAGCAGAGCTGAGCAACACTCCCTCCATCCGGCGAGAGCGCACCGAAGAAGCCTCTTAAGCGAAAACTGATGCTGTCCGCTTCCAAACTTGCGATAACCATGAATGCCATTTTACCGAATCAGATCTCTGACTTAAATAAGTGCAAAAGAGATATTTAATAGTGTTTTCACCAGTTTATGCTTATCATATTACAGTTCGAGGAGCCAGAACATCCCATGCTTGTGTACCCTGGGTTGTAGTCAGGTGCACAAAACTGGGGCAATAGCTATTTAGTTTTACGAGGATGGCTGCACCCAACGTGTCACTAGCCTGGCGGGATTTCTACGTATGTTTTCATCCATGACATCTGGGTTGCTTCTTTTTTATTTTGCAACCGGCGAGCGGAGAGGACAGGCATTACTTTACTAAGGATCGTAAGGTAAGGTTTGCTGATCACACATGCAGTGAAGCGACAGATTGCTATGTATTTTACCTTTGTATGCTGTCGAGTTATCTGTGCAGAAATTTAGAGATTTAAGCTCCCACGGGACAATAACTCCAGCAGCAGACGATCAGTCTATGAATTGGTGCTCAATTACAGCTACATTTCCACCGGCTCCTATAAAGTGTCACTATCAATAGATAACAGGGGTTGTGTGTTTGTCTCATCCATATTAAATTAAAGAGATGAACATGCCTCATCACAATTAATTTACTGAGACCATCATCACCTAAAGTACAATAATCAGGTTATTAGCAGTCACTTTCCAAAGCGAGCTAGCTATAGGCTATTTTATTAAAAAGGTTCAACTAGTCTATAAATAAAGTTATTGAAGGCTATAAATGACGGAGATAATTAATTAATCTTACTTGTATTAAATTCAGATAAAAAAAAAAAAAAACATAAGACCTTTACTGAGACTCATTTACTGCTATAAACCTATTGCAGTGGACCACATCCTGCACTAAATTACAAAATTAAACCCCTATGATTACTGCCTGCTGTATCCAGCTACCTGGGCATTTTAAGCAAATAAGTAACTTTTTTCGTACAAGAATGCAAGCTTTATTCACTCACTAGCAATAAAAGATGATAATGCACTGGAGAGTTACCTGTGATTGTTTATGATCTCCTCTGTAATAGTGGCACTGTGCAGTGCAAGTGTGCACCTTTGATGTGATATTGTTTAAAGACCTTCTTTTGTCATGCTTTTTGTTCAGTATTGTGTGTCTTCAAGCCTCTGTCTCAATTCAAACTGTTAGAGCACACCATTGAGTATGCTGTCACATCACAGCAGTCATAAGCAGTTGCCCTGAAATGTGTTTGCAACTTCTATTCCTCAGTTCTCAAAATTTTAGCATGCAGAGTGCCTGTTTCCCCCAGCTTATCAACTGAATGTGCGTCTTGTTTTTTTTTCTTTTCTTCTTTCCAAATGCAGGGTAAACTGGGTGATGGAATAGTAATGAAGTCATGAAGTCTCATCATTGGGGAATTATGCTTATTTTGTCCAAAATCTCCCTTCATTTCCACTTTATCTTCTTCTTACTCCATCTAACTTTGCCCTATGTAAATCTTCAGTTTCTCCCTGAACCAAGGTCAGGACAGGCCCTGCTGCTTTTTACCCAGCCGGCTTACAATGCTTCTGTCTTTGAAAACTCTGCTGCCAGAACGTATATGTGGAGTGCTGTTAAGATGGGTATTGTACTGAACCCCCCGCAATCCTTGGATATCAAATATACCATCCAGTCCGGGGACAGTGAAGGCATCTTTCAGGCTGAGGATGTTACACTAGGAGACTTTTGTTTTCTTCGAATACGCACTAATGGTGGAAGTGGTGCTATTTTGAACCGAGAAGTTCAAGACAATTACACCCTGACTGTAAAAGCATCTGCCCAAGGAGGTCTAGAGGCCTTAACCACTGTTTATATCAAGGTTTTGGACACTAATGACCTACGCCCGCTCTTTTCCCCCACCTCCTACTCATTTGTTGTGGCAGAGTCTGCACCCTTAGGCACCAGCATTGGCCGAGTTACAGCCACAGATGCGGATGTTGGCTCGAATGGAGAATTTTACTATTTCTTCAAAACAAGAGTGGAACTTTTTGCTGTTCATCCAACTAGTGGAGTCATCACTCTCACAAGACGGCCTAGAATAGACAAGCAGGATCGCTATGAAATTGAGGTGCAAGTGATTGACAGGGGGATGAAGTTGTATGGCAGTAGTGGAATTAGCAGCACTGCTAAACTAACACTAAATGTACAGCGTGTGAATGAGTTTGCTCCTTTCCTCAATGCTGTTACAGTTGAGCCTTCATGGGACGACATGGATCCTGTCTATGCTGTTATAACTGTGGACGACAAAGATGAAGGGGTTTCTGGGGATATAGAATGGGTGTCTATCACTGATGGAGACCCTTTTGAACAGTTCATAGTCCAACGCTCCTCAGCTGGGAATGAGTACAAAATCAAAGCTTTAGACTTGATTGACTGGGACAAATTTCCCTTTGGTCTCAACTTGACAGTCCAAGCTAAAGACAGGGGTGTTCCTCCCAAGTTTTCTGAAAATCTAATTGTTCAATTGTTGGTTACAAAGCCACTTCCAGTAACAGTAAATTTTGAACGAGATGTTTATGTAGTCAAACTGAGTGAAATCGCTCCCCCAAGCACTTTTGTGGAGGTGGTGAAAATCTCCCCAGCTCCTTCGAGTGTCAATTACAGCTTCACCAGGCTTTCAGATCCAATGTTCTTTGATATAAACCCTTTGACTGGAGTTATTATGACCACAAGGCAACTGACAGGCATATCACAGGATTTCATGGAGATGGAGGTAGCTGATATTGTCAGCCAGCAACGTGCACGAGTCAGAGTAATCATAGAGGATGCAAATGATAACAGCCCAGTCTTCGGCAGGTCGGCATGATGTCGCTGTGAATGAGAGTACACCTGTGGGCACAGTGGTTATTGCAGTATCAGCCACAGATTTTGATAAAGGAGAGAATGGATACATTACCCACACAATCAGTAATGATCTGGACTTGCCATTCAGCATAGACCAGAGCACAGGGGAGGTTAGAGTCACTAAGGAGTTGGATTTTGAATCTGCAGAAGATTTCTATACTTTTGCAGTGCGGGGGTCAGACTGGGGAACTCCATACAGAAGAGAAAGCGAAGTCAATGTTACAATCCGTTTGGTGAACATAAATGACAACCCTCCTGTATTTGAGAAAGTGTCTTGTAGAGGCATGATAAGTCGAGAATTCCCTGTCAACCAAACTATCGTCACCATGTCTGCTGTGGACATGGATGAGCTGGGATTGGTGAGGTACCAAATAATGTCTGGTAATGAGTTAGACTATTTTACTCTACACCCTGTTTCTGGCGCTCTGTCATTGAAAAGACCATTAGCCATACTTAATATAAAAAATGGCATATTCAACCTGAAAATAGTCGCAACAGATGGTGAATTGATATCAGAGCCTACATTTGTCAACGTGTCTGTGGTGAGGGGTAGAATGCCACCTGGGGGCTTTAATTGCAGGGAGACCAGGGTGGCCCAGATGTTAGCTGAGAAAATGCTCTCCAAAGCCTCAGCTATGGCAAAGCCAAGTTATTCTGAAAGGTACACAGCCGACCTTTACTCCACAAACACGCAAGCACCACAGTTTGAAGCCTTACCAACAAGTATTTTAGTACGCGAGGACCTACCTGTTGGTGCTAGTGTATTTCAAGTGAGAGCACGCGATAGTGATACAGGCTTCAATGGACTTGTGCTCTTTTCAATATCTGACGGGAATAAAGAAAACTGTTTTAAAATTGATATGGAGAGCGGACTTATAAGTGTGCTACTGCCACTTGACCGTGAAAGGACAGACCGTTACTTCCTCAACATTACCATCTACGACCAGGGTGATCCACAAATGTCAAGCTGGCGCTTACTGACAGTGATCATAGAGGATGCGAATGACAATGACCCCATGTTCTTACAAGACACTTACTCTGCCATTGTGTGAAAATGCAGTTATTGGATCTGAAGTCATCATTATCATGGCGTTTGACAGAGACATGGGTCAAAATGGACAGCTGGCTTACATTATGCTGACTAGTGTCCCTCAGTTTGGAATAGACAGCGAAACTGGGAGTGTGTTTGTAGCCAGTAACTTGGACAGAGAGAGCTCCCCCATATTCCTGCTGAAAATTGAAGTGCGGGACAAGGCAGAACGAGGCACCCGAAGGTCATCTGTGACTACATTAAGTATTATAGTGGAGGATGTTAATGATTGCGCCCCGACTTTTATACCCAGAAGTTTTAGTGCCAAAGTGCTGGAGGATCTTCCGCCCGGAGCTGTCATTAGCTGGGTCCAAGCCCAAGACCCAGATGTAGGACCTGGTGGGCAAGTCTGGTACTCTCTGATTAACGACTTTGGTGGCACTTTTGAGGTATGTATTTTTAAGTCTGTTTATACTTGGACCCATGCAAAGAGATTAAGAGTTAAAGACAGTGTCCTGGAAAAACCTTTTTGTCTATGGGTTGGCAGTATTAATGGTGCACTGTGTAACGTTTCTGGAGGAGGGTACACCTGCTCGTGTTTGCAGACAAAACAATTATATCAATATTTTGCTTTATTGCTCACTTCTAATTTAAAATATGCAAATCTTAAAAAAACATGGATACATTTTTGGACAGGCCTATATTTATTTATTAGACTGCATTATTACAAAGTTCTTTTAAGAGTTAGCTGCCACTTTGCGAGAAAGTTGTAAGTTTGATTTTCTTTGACTTGCGTGAGACCCAAAAAGTTAAAAATAATAAATGACACATCAAACAGTTCTTAGAGAGTTCAGTTTCACCCAATGGCACTTTGTTGAGCTAAGCATTTTAAATTTGCAAACTAGCCTTACTTTTCGCAGTGTTTTATTAGAATTGTGTAGAGAGGCACTTAACAGCCTTTATTAGCAGTTTCTAATGCATGGGCTTGCAATGTTTTGTTCAGATCGATCCTGTAAGTGGAGCTTTGAGGATAAGGATGGAGCTGGATTTTGAAAAACAGCAGTTTTACAACTTGAGTGTTTTGGCTGAAGATCGGGGAGCACCCAGTCTGAGTGCACAGACATTTGTGGAGGTGGAGGTGAGTAACACACGCGCTGTTTTCTAATGAGCAGTTTCATCAATTAACAACCACTACTGTAGTCTGTAGCTGTGCCTTGTTTATTGATTCAAATGTGCTGCACTAAGTACTGTGTTAATGACTGCAGAATTGAAAAAGTGACAAAGGGAACGTATCAGTTGTTTCATCACTTATTATTAATAAAACTAATTAATTTGGTGAAACTTAATCACACAATATTTAAGGGCAAATGAAAAACAGGATTAATGTAATATCTCTTAATATATTTCACAACCCATTTTATAATCATTATTAACCTAAAGGCAGTCACTGATATTATATACAATTAAGGCACTTGTTGATATAATGTCATAATGTACAGCACCTCTTGATTTTGTTACTGTTTTGTAACAGGATCAATTATCGTGCTTTATAGAAAACCTACTGCTACTTTCACTTCATTTTGGATAATAACTGTGTAAAATTATGTAAAAAGTAGTTTCACAACACAAACCATACATCCAAAACACTTTGAGAATGCAGAAAAATATATTACAGTATGATACCTAATTGATATTCACCCACTTCACTTCACCAGTGTAAATTGCGTTTGGTCAGATTAGAATTTCTAATGAGTTGGACATGGACTCAGAATGAGCATAATTCTCATGCCACTGAGCAAATATGTACTCTGTCAAATGATGTTTAACTGCATCTCCTGTGTTTAGGTGGTGGACGTGAATGAGAATCTGTATGCACCTTATTTCCCTGAGTTTGCTGTGAGGGGCTTGGTAAAGGAGAACAGTCGCGTGGGCACCAGTGTCCTGACAGTCAGTGCTCAGGACGAAGACCGCGGACGAGATGGGCAGCTGAGGTACTCTATCAGAGGAGGCAGCGGGCTCGGCACTTTCACCATTGACGAAGACACAGGTGAGACACAAGATCAATACCATAGCCTATTTATGTAAAGTGAAAACCAATAATGCAAAGCGCAATACTTGGAATGTCAACCATGCGCCTCAATCACCTTATTCTGTCACTTCTACAGCACAATCAAAATAGCTTAGACATTATGTATAAAATAAACATAACAGAACTGAATAGTTTTTGAATCTCATCGTGAGGCTACATTTAATTCACCGTAACTAACTACAGAATATAATACATGAGATAACAAGGCATAGATCAATAAAACCAGATAGTTTACCAATTAAACAAACAAAAACAAACAAACAAACAAACAAAATAATATTGTGGCAGTAAAATTTCAGAGCTAAAAAAAGTCTGACTATTAAATAAAGTAGTTGAAGGAATATATTGTTTCATCTTACAGTTGCCTAAACAGCCTTTTGCTATTGGTCATTAATTTTTAAAATATAGCAATTTTATTTGTATTTTTTATCTATGTCCCTTTAAAAAAATTAGCTTGTTTGATTGTTTCACTTCTTGATGCCTTGACCTCCTTGTGTCTCTGGTGTATCTATTTGGTGGAGGACACAGGGACACAGAGGGTGGAGTATTTTAGTGCTGGTGCAAAGAAGGGCCTCACGTGGGAGATCATTACTGTAATGAGGCCAGAGTGGCAGCTACACTGGCGCGGCCCCAGGCAGCTTTGTACCACACGTTCAATGCAGTGCAGATAACACTGATCAAGGCTTCCTCCCCAGTGCACTCCTGTCTTTCCTAAAATGTAAACTTCACAACTTATTTAAGGAGATTGACCCACAAAAGGGCCATGGACATCTCAGAATGTCCTGCACTGATTGAGCAGAAAACACCATTCTCAGATTTATCCTTCACAGATTCAGCCAAATAAAAAGTCCACTTGAAAAGCTAGACACTTTATGTCTATTGGATGCAACTCAATTTGCTCTTTGTCTTGGTGGAGTCCTTCACTCGTTTATTAGCCTCAAAGAGTGTGAAATGTATTATAGGTGAAATATATAAATCTCCATTGGGCAAGCAGAACAGTTCATTTCTTGTTGGATTTACAGTGGACACTATAGCATTCAGCTAGTTTAACTGTTAGCGACTTTTCAATCAATCTTAGGGACACTCTACAAGTACCAAGGGGTCATAAAAGGGTCAACAATTGATCTATGACTAAAAAACAAGCAAACTTTCTACAGTCCAATAAATGCAATCTATTTTAAATGTGTTGCCATACAAAACTGAATGTCCAACTGTTATTTTCCCTTTGTATAACCCAAAACAAACATTTCATAAAGTCAAAATCTCAAGTGGTATTATGTAATTTTGGACAGGGGGTAACAGTTTACACTAACAAAACGCTCAATTGCTAAAATCTGTGTTCGGAGTTAATCCTTAATCTCTTCTCTGTGTGCCTCTCTCCATGGTGCTGAAAAATTCACACGGCATGCATCCCAATCAGTTTTGCCATTCTCTCCCTGCCTCTCTGTTCTCTGCATGATAGACTTGGTCATATAGCAAGGGGTTCATTTTGACTTTAGACACTTCTCAATCAATGTAATTACATCCAGTGATTAGTAAAGTGTCAGTGCGGGCACGTCTCCTATAATAAATGGGGATGGCGTTTGTTTGAAGCTGGTCCCTACTGTACTGTACTTGCCGTTTGCACTGGAGGCCTTTTTTGACCTTTAACTAGGCTAATTAGTATTGACTACAGTTCTGAGAGAGCACCAGCAATATAGTGCTCAATGGACCTGCTCTGCGCATGGATAATTTTCATCTTTGTGTACTCAACTGATAGAACTGCGATGGATTGTCCAACTTTTCATATCAAGTATCACCCCAGGAGATGTACATTTTCTCAAGAACTATTTTACCTTTCAATAAGCATGAATCAAATAAGGATAAAAAGAGGAACATGATTTAAGGGCAGCGTGCTACAAAGCAGGATTAGACAGTTAGCGAGGTAACTTTGGGATCAATGGCGCTGGATCATTTTCCATCAGTTTAGATCTCTTAACTGGCCAGCCAAAACCAAAGATGTGTGGGTCTGGATCCATATCCTGTCTCCCCAATTTCAGAAGGCCGTGATTGACAGGCAAATTAACCAATCAGAGACTCATGGTCCAATTGTGCCAAAACAAACATGGTGGCTTACGAGTAAAAAGGAAAAGAAGAAAAGATAAACAACACCGAGGACTAAGAAACAATGCATATTTTTGTAGAATCAATCACAATCAAAGCACTAAACTTTTATTTGTCAGAAATAAGTATAATTTGTTCTGAATGATATAAGAATTTTCTAAAAGAGATGTCTTCTGCGTTTGAGAGACCATCCCAAGTTATTACAGAGGTTTTTCACACTCTGTGGTCCGATTACAAACCCTTCTGGATTTGAACAGAATGTAGAAGGGACTGGCTGGTCAGGCAAGTAGATCTCTAGGCTAAAATTCCCTAACCTGCTTTGAACCCAGTTAAATTCCTGTGTAGGATTAAAAACATCTCCTTGTGGGTTGGAGCAGTGTTTCTCAAGCTGGGGTACAAGCTCCTTCAGGTAGTATCCAAGGTTTGCATGTTTGCTTGGTATAAAGTCCATTTTATCAACAATTTTGTTCTTGTTTGGGTTATTTCTTGGTTTTAATTACTGCAGCATTTATATAGTCTTAGAGAGTTGCTAACCATGATTTAGACCTAAAATAGCCCTGGTTTAGATTGGTGGTCCGAGAAAAGCCAAATAATTTTAAGTGACTCTTTAGGTGGTACTTGGTGTGAAGTTTGATAGACACTGGTTTAGAGGATGGATTTTTAGTTTAGTGTGAAAGTCAAATAACAATATAATCAATAATAATGGTGTGTTTGGTGCTCCATCTGTTGTAGTTAGCTATAAAACCGCAAAGTAAATCACTTGATAGCCATTTTGGTACGATATCTTTTGAATTAATTTCAAATGAATACTCATCCACTAAAGAACTAACATGGAAATAAGGCCCTTAAGATAAAAACTTGAGGGGTACCAATAAAATAGTTTGAGAACCCTCCTAATTTAATACTAAACTGTAATTGATGTAGAAAGACCTTAAAAGATGGCATACTGTTTTATTTACTTCCCTATTAAAACTCCAGTAACCATCAAGAAACTTTAACAGATTTTTCAGGGGAAATCAGAGTGCTTGTTAGAGCAGAAAGCAGAGTATGGGAGTGGAAGTGATGCGGGGAGAGGAAGGAAGAGGGTGCAGGGGGAGTTCAGTACATAAAAAGTGTTGAAAGAAAATATAGTGTCTTTTCTCCTCCCCTGGACTTTTATCACAAATTCTTCATAGATGCAGCTATTGTTTTATATCTCTTGCTATAAAAAGTGCTAAATTTATGTTGTAGGGTGGGAGCCTGCATTACCATATGATAGTTTCAAAAGAATGTTAAACGTGATCATTTTGTTTGTCATTGATACTAAAATAGTATTAAAACTAGATACTGAATAAAATACATTGGACAATATGAGACAAAAGTCCTGAATAGTTTTCAAATGTTCTATATTCAAACTGATACATAACACCACATAGTGACAATACCCTCCTAGGACCCAAACTCTTGCATGACATGCTTTATTGATTTCTCTTTTGTTATTTGGGCTGATTGGGATCTGATAAGTGCAAAAACAAAAAAATATCTATTTTTACATGATGTAGTTTCTGTTATGTCCACAAATGATATATATATATATATATATACACACATATATATATATATAAAACCATACATTTTATGTTTTAGTAATTTTGATGGAACACAATAAAGTCACAATTGAATAATAATTAGCAAAAACTATTTATTTATTAAAAACATTATTGAACAACCCAAAATGTGTTGGATATATGTATGTTCACATATGTGGACACCAGGTCCTAGGAGGCTACAGAAAGTAATATTATTTTCTGTTGAAATTTTCAATCTCTCGTATAAAAAGAGTGTTTAATCATCATTGTGTATCAGTTTCAGATCCATTACTTGATATCAAAATTTGTTTGTATTTGTTTGTGAAATTACTCTGGCAAAGGGGATGTGTTTCCACAGACCAAATATCAGAGAGGCACATAGTCTCTGCTTGGATATGTCGCTTGTGCTGGCACTCTGTCTGCAATTGAAGTTTCTAACAGATAAATAAAGTTATTTTGATTGATAAATCTGAATATTTTGCTTTATTATTTTTTTTGTTGCCAAACTCAATGTCAATCATGTACTGTAGGCCCTTTACAAGTCTATGACAGGATGTGAAAACAGCCATGGAGCTGTGTTATTTAGTATTGTAGTGTAATACTCACAGTTGTCAGGCACGTCACTGATCTGTCCTCCTCCTTGCATTTGTCTTCCATGTTGAGACGCCCTGTGCTGACTTTTAGTGCCAGCAGTAAGTACATGTGAGAGTGTTGTGTGGCAGGAGTGAGGGACTGTGTAAAGGGCAGAAATAAGAAAAAAGGGTAAAAAATCCATTTAGTTAACGGATGTTTTAACTTATGCACGGCCTTGCTCCCTGGATATGATGTGCTGCTGTGGTCAGCAGATTGTGAGCGCCCAGTGACACTGCTGCTGTATGTCATGCTCGCCTGGAACAATCGCCCTTCTTTCTCACATTTGATATTTAGATGTTTCAGATGACTCACTTTAATGCAGGTGGGAAGTGCAGAGGGTATCAATCAAATGATAAGTGGGATCTCTTCTGGCTTAAAATCTTAGCACTCCCAAGCTTTGAACAAAAATTGGTATTCTTGTCATTGGGAAGGGGAGAAGCAGACCCTGCAATTTCTCATGGGCCGCCGACAGAAGCCAATGCTGTGCTATTAGTGCTTTTGCAAGGTCCTGGATTTGTCACAGCAGGATGAAGCTTTCTTTAAGTCACAGACAAACTCGCCTTTTATAAAGAAATTCATCCAGCATCTGTAAAATTTAGTAGGTTTTTATTTGGTTTTCCAGTTTTCTGTTTCCCCCTTATCTCCTGCACTCACAGTGTAACTATGCATCATATTTTTCATCCATCTTGTGATTGATTATTCAATATTGTGGCATAATTAGATAGCAGGTCCAGAAATGTGTTTTTCAGACTCTGAACTGTTGGAGCTCTGAGACAGATGTAAACTTGAGGAGACCAGGCACTCTTACATTGGAAAACACGCCGTGACCCTTCAATTTTTTGTTCAGTCTTTGAAGTGTGTTATTTATGGTGAGAATGGATGCTGTCAAGACAGATTTATATTGAATTCAGTGAATGGTGTCTGTCGGTCTTAAAGTTCAAAGAGCTTTTGAAACAGCCAGCTCTGCTCTCTGGTCTCTCTGACGGAGATGAGATGTGGCTTGAAAAGGACATGGTCAAGGACAAGAGAGCAATGAGGAGTTTGAACACTTGGGCCTGTTGTTTGGAGCTGCAGTGTCATAATTGCACACTATTTGTACTGACATAGGAAACATGTGAAGGGGCCATGTTCACACCTCCTGTCATAAACTACTGTCATAGAGTGTAGCATATGTGACAACATGAAAAAGTGGAGAAGGCATATTCACATGGTGAATTAGCATTGGTGTATTTTTACATTTTACTCATGTAATCAGGTCATTTATCTGATTTGTGTATTTGCGTAATGTAAGATTAATCTTTTTTTATTTGTCTGATGTATTACAATACTTTAATTATTGAAGTATTATTTTTCTACAGTAATTACTATCTTTAATTATTTTCAAAAACAAGCTTTTCAAAGATGTAGCTTTTTAAAGTAAAACCTGATATTTTCTCTCAGTTTGAGTACAGGGTCACTAAATGAAAAGGTAACAAAAAGAACAAAAGAGTATATCTACATCTTTTGAAAAGCAGGATTAGTCACTGTATTAATCATTGTGTTTGAAAAAGGGAGGTTGGTAGGGGTGAACAAATACTTTTTTAACATATTGCTACACTCCTTCTGCTTTACCTATACTTACTTTCCAATTTTGAATATTAAAATTGGGAGATATAACAAAATTCAATTGTGATCTGATTCCTCTGACAATATGCTATTTTGGCAAATTTTTCATCTTCTCATTCAGTGCATCCTTGACAACTCACCCTCCCACTCCTCATATTGACTAGCTTCTGAATTTAATATTATTAGTTATCTGCTAAACCTAAGCATCATAAAAATGTAAGTGTATGAATCATGAATACATCTAATTCATGTTCTGAGCTCTAAAATTGTGATATGAACATTCTGGCACACCCTTAATGAAAATATAACCAAATATATCACACTTCTTACAGAACTATACAGGTTTTCCTCATAACAGCACTAGTATCTGTCACTGAATGTATAGTGGTACCTTTAGGCTGTCTCTTCCATTATATTAAGACACGCTGTCAGTGAATCACAGAGTGAACCACATTTCATATTCATAATGTACATGCGATGGACAGCTCTACAAAACCTCTTGGATAAAAAGATGCTTATTTGTCTCCTGTTGTTCGTGTGCCCTTAAGAGGTCACCGTGCTGTCAGCCCCTCATCTTCCTTACGGCTCTGAAACACACTGAAGCCATTTTGTGTATGTGTCTGTGGAATGTTATTGGCTTAAGGTCAACGTCTAGTCCGTTTAGCACTATTCCAACAGCGGCAAGAGCAGTTTGGTCAGCAGTGATTAACCACAAAAGAGCCCAAGCATTGAAGGTGACTAAACATAATGCCTGTGAAAGTCAGTGAAGCCAGTCAGGACACAAAGTTTACTCCGAATTTGTCCCTTCCCTCTTTTGCAACTTAAGTATTCTCAAGCCTTTCTAGAGATGTTTGCTTGATGTATTTCACTGAAGACACCCACTATAGCCTGGACTTAATAGATATGTATTCTCAAGCCTGACTAACAACTGCATTTATCTTTGTGTCTGCCTCAACAGGGGTGATTTACACAGCTGCTATCCTGGACTCTGAGAGCAAAGACTCCTATTGGCTTACAGTGGATGCCACAGACAGGGGGGTCACACCTCTGTCTGCCTCCATCGAAGTCTATATTCAGGTATGCACACCTTGCATTTCAATATCATACACTACTCGAGAATGATTCGTAGTGCATACCCAAGTACCTATATACCTCTGGTTCTATTTTTAACCTGAGAATAAAATAAAACAATGACTAAATTACTGTATCATGTTCAAATGTGTATACGCAATGCATCACAAATGAGACAGGATTTCTGCACAGGAATACTAATGAGTCAATACTTCTCTGCAAATTGCCTAGCTAGCGATGAGCGGGCATTGTGAAAAAGTTTATAGCTTTCAAGTGCACAAAATACATAACTGTAACAGCCATAACGTTATGACAATTAGGGAATTTTATTAGTTTGGCTCTATATGACCCTGAATTAGTTTAGGCTTTTGACACTTTAGTGTATCTGAAGAAGTATAAGACCACATAGCATATGCCCAATCGCCCATGGGCCACTATGAATCCTACTTGAACAAATGAGGAATTACATAGTGTTTTTTTTTTTAAATTCACCATGACCGTGCTATCGGAATTGACTGAGTCTATTCCTTAGTCTTTTCCTTAATATCAAAATCAAAATTGAAATTTTAGTATCGTGACAACACTAGTCTCCTTCACTTTAAATTCACCTCAGAATTTAAAGAAATGGAAATAATAATGTGGCTGTATTTTAGTATGTTCTTGTTTCACCCTTATTGACCACTGGTTAAAAAGCACAAGATTACTTAATGAATACAAAATTCTTGCCTTTTATATCTTCAATTGGACATGCACTGTCAGTGATAAATTAACAATGTACTGTGCATGGAGTGATGGAATTGCTCTGCAGTTAAGTGTTTTTAAAAGCTCAATCGTTTTATATAAAAGGATCAAGAGCAAAGTGGCATGAAATAAGAAACCGTACATTTCTGTTCTATTATTGATATGCTAAGTGTACTCACTACTTTAAAAATTACTTAGCTTACACTACATAAGTACCATGCAACATGCAATATGCATAATATTGCAGATTTACACTACACATGTGGTTTTAGTTGTAAATGCATTTATTCAGGGAAGAAAGATTTTCTCATTTTCAATGTTCATGGATTATTGGATGGTTTTAGTGGTTTAGTTAGTGTACTTCAATTACAGCTATATTTAATTATCTAACATTGGCAAATAATCAAACATAGTACATTTATGTAACTAGTGCCAGAGAAATAATCTGTTTAAATTTACAGTACAAACAGTGTGTTCTCCCAACATCGACAAGAGACACCAAAGACATTGAGACATTTGTCATTCACAGAGGTGTCTCACTTCTCCTGACAGGTTGCCCAGAGGCACTGGTTAAAGAGTGGGTCGAATGCAAAGGACACATTTCGTAATGGGGACAATAAAACAAAAATAACACCCTTCACCACAGGCCATATGGAGTTGCCATTTCACATTATATTCCTGTGCTAAATAAAGTCATAACAAATTACTGCTAGTCTCTGCTGTTTTTTCTCTTTGTCTGGGATCTTTCACAGTGTGACATTAAACTCACATCTCTAGCATTTATGCAATTACATGTTTTCATTGCCCCAAAATATCTTGAAAACATGCATTCTTGCTGAGAGCATGGTCACCTCTCCACAGAGCTGACCTGGGACTTGGATTGGTGGTGTCAGTTGCTTTCCTCATGGAGACAGATACATAAAATGCCATACTGTGGAACATTTTAGGCATAGTAATAACATCTACATGGAGATAAGAAAAGTTCTTTAGTGCACCTTTAAAATCTTCTATAGTTGAATGCATTGGTCACAATTAGAACCTCTTTGTAAATCTAAGTGATTTCACTTGTCTCCCGATGCACTGCTAATTACACTTTCTTTGATATTTTCCATTGTCTGTCTCTGAGTTAATAGTCCGAAGTGCTATGTCCTTTATTAGCACAATGAAGCAGCAGCTGTCACCTTGGGAGGATCTAATTGCGTTCACTGTGATGTATAGCTTTACTGTTTTAAGAAAGTGGGCTACACCAGGGGAATTTGTGTGGCTCACTTCTTGTTTTATTTGGCTCTAAATAATCCTGATTTCTGAGCAGTGGAAAACTCACACATCATTTCTCCTGCCTTAACCACAGTTCACACTCCTCCAGCCCAGAGTTCAGCAGCGTATGAAAACACAAACCGAAGTGCCGCTTGGGGGAATTCAGGTGTGGCGTAGGGATCTTGGCCTCTTTCCTTCGAACCAAACTAAAGAGATTAATCAGACGCAGGTGCTGTTGCTCAAGTGCACCGGCGCTCACAGCTCCCGGCAAACACTCAATCAGTGCTGTGTTTTTGCCATAAATATCGTAGATCTGTGTGTCACAAAAGAAATTAATTTGGAGTGCATTTAACGCTCGACGTCTGTGGCATTTTCTGCTAAATAAACTTCCATTTTGTGATTGATAGCAAAATAAGTACCCGATCCGGAGCTGGAGTTAGTCTACTAATTGCAGATTAAAATAGATATAAGACATACGATTCATAAAGCCAAGGTTGCAATGACCAATTAAATCACTTAAAGGTGCACTATGTCACATTTTTGTGATGGAGGGTCTGCCATGCTTTTTTTGTATGTTTTTTTGAATTATCTTGCATTGAAATTAACCATTATTTAACTGAGTGCCATTTATCAGTCTGTCATATCAGCAAATCTCTCTCAGATATCTTTTGCTCTAATTTGCATATAGACCAGTAATTTCATTATATTGTTCTTCTCCAAGGTTGAAGATGTTAATGACAATGCCCCACTGACGTCAGACCCCATCTACCATCCCGTCATCATGGAGAACTCCCCCAAAGACGTGTCTGTGATTCGCATCCAGGCCCAGGACCCTGACCTCACAGCGATGCCCAACCGCCTCACCTATCGCATCAGCGCCGGCAACCCTCAGAACTTCTTCACTATTAACCCCAAAACAGGTGAGAGAATAACCTACTAAGGACTTTATACCTAATAATAATAATTTGATTTAATCATTTCAAAGATCCTTAATCTAATTTGTCAGTGCATGCTGTTGTGTATTTCCCCAACCTTGCCTATATGAATGTGGAGTGTGTGTGCGATGAGTGATGAACAGAGGGGCCGTTGGCACAGAGTTGCCATCTTGGTTTTGTCAGTCTACCTTAGAGAGGCATGAGTTGTGATTGTGCATGAATAATAATGACACTGTAGCACTTTGAGAGGCCTGTAAAGCACAATGCAAGTATAAGCCATTATTATTTTGTATTTGATTCTCAGTCTAGCAAACAACAGTATTTTTTTTTTTACTCAATATACTTAAACTGCTAAATATTTTATAATACATTTCTCATTATAATAATACACATTTATTAATATGAATATTTTTGACCACAATAGTTTGCCCAGATTCAATTTTTCACCATAAATCAAACTTTGACAACTTTCCCTTAAGAAGTGAACCAGCTATGTTGCTATTCCAAGCAATTTAAGCAATGTAATAGCAACCATTTGCAACTTTGGTTTAACAGCTGTAAAACTCAATGAATCAAACAACTTACGCTCGAGTCTATAGTACGGGTAAATTGTAAAATTTCCATAAAATGCTACAGCGAACCAAAACACTTTCAGAGGTCTTCTAATCCACTTGACATGGTGAATACTGTTGCATCATTCACACACGTTTGGTAAATTAAAAGACCGCCCACTCCACAAATAAAGTTGACATGCCTCTCCACACACACAGACTATACCCACAGACCTCACTGTATCTAATATTTCTGTCTTGACTATTGTTGGCATGTAAGCACTTTGCAGTTGATGAAATTATTACACTTGGTTCTTTATTACATTTGGCATGTGGGTGAGTTTTTTCTAATCAGACCGGAAACTTTTCCGATGTATAAAGAATGTATATTAACCAAAGTCATTTTCTTTTTCATTACTTTTGGTCCCTAGAGTCCAGCCACGGTATTACTCATTTCTGTTATATATGATGTATTGCAAGAGAAACTTTATACTCTTCTTAGTGAGATAAAAAAATTTAAAAAGTGCCAAGCTAAAGTTGGTTAAAGGTTTCCCGAAGTATTAGATGGGATTTGAAACACTTTTGAGTCCAAAGTTGTGCCAACCGCTCCTGGGTTTACCATAAGCCCGTGACTATAGGATCAGGCTGACTTAAGGAGTCTGAGCTTGTAATGTGCTGTTCACATAGCCCGAGGGAAGGGATCATTTAAACTGACACTGGTAGAAATACATCATTTTATTTTTTTCAAATAAGGTTCATGTTTCGTTGAAAGATAATTGCAGAGGTAGTTAAAGGTTTGGGACTAATATGCCACGTAATTATGTAAATGTTGTGTTTTACAGAATTTAATGTAGTGAAAGAGTTGTGGGTCAGCTATCAAACGTAGTAGAATAAATAGGTAGTAATATTAGTAGTAGTACTTTTAGTATGACTAAATGTATAATATATGAAATAATGTGCTATGACTATATATATAGTCATAGCACATTATTTCCACTGCACTGCAAGTAGATTTTTGGGGCTGATATAGATTTTATTTCATATATTTTAATACATATTTCCAACTAAAACTTAGACTTTTTTGCAAGGTGTCAATGCTTTACAAGTGCGTCAACCTCTCAGTAGCCTGATAGCGGCACAATGAGACGTGTTTCAGACTGGGCTGTCAAAGCTGATGTTCAGTAATATCCTGAAGTTTTCTCTGTATCAGCTCTGCTGAAGGTTCCATGAAATAATAATTGAAGAGGTAAAATGTTTTATTCAAATATAGAGAAAAACAGAACAATGTGAAGATGCCAGCTTCAAATTGCCCCAGATAATCATTTGAGAGTTTGGGGAAATAACAAAAGGCACATATTTAAATTTGAGCAGTTACTGGGACCTGTTTTCTGATTCAAAGAGGCATCAGTGTAAAATCAAACAGCCTGGCCTACATGGAAGGCATGTCAGATATGAGCCAAAGAGAACTCCCGGGTGATCTACTGCACAGAAAAATATTAAGTTAATACAGCTAAAATAAACAAGGGAAGGTATTTAGACTAATGAAATTAGGTTAATTTATGCATGAAAAGTCTATTATTCAAATGGACAATTTTCAAATACATGTATAAATTAGTAGGTACATAATGACCAAAAATATAACATTTTGCCTTAATTGTTCATAGCCCCTGAAGGAGTAAGATGTAGCCCGTACTAACACAGTTGAAATAAATAAAGTCCAAGTTAGGACAAGTCCGAGTCTAGCCAAGTTCGGTCATTAACATTTAAAACCTAGTCCTAATTGTCCAACCATAAAGCATAAAAGTTGACCTAATTGTGAATTCCCATAGCTTTAAACTTAACTTAATTTAACTTTGAGCTTAAAACCATAATTTAAAACATGTTTATAAAAGCAGATATACTGAAGACTTGGGAGCTCTTACTAGACACGTCTGACTCTTTGGGCCATGAGTCTGAGTTATCTTGTCTGTATGTTCTTTTTCTGTATGTTGTTTTTACAGTGTGCATGATTCTCTCCAAGCCTGTCCCCTGCTATGTTGTGCGCATACACTGTTGTTTATTAAAGCTATTCAGATATTTTTCTGGATATGCAGAGGTGCAGAGTGGCACAGGGTGAATAGGCTAATATTGATTTAAAATGGGGCACACTGCTGTTCTCTTACAGTTATTAATGTGTGAGAGAGCAGAGAGCTTGTCGTGCTTGTATGCAGAAGGAGAGGAGTGGCATTTTAATCAGGCAATTAATTGGTTACAACAGTGTGTTTGAGAGGACAACTCTATAGGGCTCAATGAACTATTCTCTCTCATACTGGGCATATGTATTATTCAGACTGTGTTTAACATCTTCTAAGCAGCACATGTTAAAATATTATGTGGTCTGGGACTGTATTTCTATCTATAATGGGCAGTTCGCTCTAATATTATCAGTGGCATTGTACTGTATGTGTCTATACATTTTTTTTAATTGTGTCACAAGAGAGAGTGAAGCCATCTGCCATATCCTATCCTGCTGTCTACATTGTTTTGCCAATCCTTTTAGCTAATTTCATTCGCATTACAGATAAACAAAAATGTTGTTGTAAAATGCAAATTGGGACCCTTCTTATAGGCATCTTTCCAACACCCACTAACATTGCTTACTATACTTGCAGAAGTTTTAAAAGGGTAGTGCTCTCAATTTGAATAATAATTACCATAATTTTCACAGCAAAGTGACTGACAGTGCCACTCAATTAGTGAGTAATAACACATGCATGAGTGAAGGGGGGAGATGCATTTAAAATGATTAATACTGCACACTTCACAGAGGCACTGAACTTTGTAGACAGTTTGTGGCTTGAAATAAAAAAGTAAATTGATTTATGTTTACAATCTGACAGCATGGAGTGGTATATGACCCCAAAAGTCTTCAAAATGTCATGCTCATTCTCCAAGTGTCAGTTTGATGGGTATGAGCAATATTTCAAAGGAAGGTACTGAAGGGAAACTTTGGAAGTTTAGACTGTTTTCTCGCTTGCTCTTCACATGAAACCTGGTTTAATTGTGCTGACATTTTAATCAGCTGAAGCCTAGTTAATACTGCTGGGTTGAAAAAGCTCCCAATTGAGGGCATGTAGTCACTTTCATTAGTGGATATATTACTGGTAATGGGGAAAAAAGACAGAAAGCCTCAGCATCACCTGTTACTAGTCAAAATGGTTAGTAACTTACAATGTTATTCATCCCTGTACAAATGATAAAATACACCATGTTCAACTGTGAAAACAAATTTCACTGCAGGGACAATAACACAAACTAAATCAGCTGCACATTTTGTCTCTTTCATACTTTCTAAACTAGGATAAGCTACTCATATTCTAAGTTTTAACAATGGTGTCTCAAATACACAGTGTTGTTATTTAGCAGTTTGCCGATTCAGTCTGTGGCTGTGTGACCTTTGCGAGCACCCTTTATTTGACTCTATTGGTTTTGTCGTACAAACAGCAAATCAATTCTGCATAGTTAAGCTGGTTTTACGATCTAGCCCTGTGTTTCTAAACAGACAATTTATCCTTATATACAGCAGCTATTGAAACTGCATTACAGATTATTACAGTAATTTATGACAGTAATGTCCACATACAAAGCTCTATAGATTTAAAACAGGCCACCAGTGCGTTTTTATAAATTCCGTACCCTACATTTTAAGTGAGGGTGTTTCCAAATATTTTTTTTCTGATGTCTAATTACACTTGGGGCAGATGCAGTTCTGCAGAGCGTAAATCATTGATTTTTTATCAGAGCTGTAACTTGCTCTATTCATGTACTGCTGCACAGGCCCCACCCCTGCCCACGACTCCTGATTTACTCCTAATTTGCCTAATTGAAGTTAGCCCCCGTAGCAGGCTCAAGGTGACATTCAGATATGCTTCTGTGTGCATGAGGCTGACTATGCATGTACGACGAGGACTCCCATCCAGTTATTTAAACATCCAAAAATAATCTCATCACCAGCGCTCCATAAAGATTTCTATTATGTTTAATGCAAAGCTGTGGGAAGTGTCCTTTGTGTGATCTCTAAATGCACCATGTTTAAGTGGATATGATTTGCATAACATGTACTGGAGTTACTTTATGATGGATATGAAGTTTATTGATGATTTGTGTTAAGATTTGCCATATAAAACATTTATATTGTGTGGTTTTATGAGTTTAATAAGGTGAGATGTCTCATAAATTATCCACAAGCATATTCATAAATTAAACAGTAATCAGTTGTGTGTTTTTACTTCATTAGTAAAATTACATCCTATCGAGACATATCTGTACATGATTTTATATTTTCTACATGTTCAATACAAATATCAGAAGACATAAATAAGAGACAATCAAGACAATATAATACATGGATTTTTGATAAGATAGATAAAAAATTGTGAGTGCTGCTGAAGTTTCTATCACTTAAACTCAATAAAACTATGTTTAATCATATCATACAGTGCTCAGTTCGGATCTGCTGCACTGTACACTGACTAATGACAGGCAATTGGAAAATACAAATAGTGTTCTGTTAATCACACAGCTAACATTAATTTGACATTGACAGAAAATGATAAAATGGGCTAATGTATTTGCTTGTCATCACCCCATCTGAATAATCTAGTTCTGTCAAAACATCATCAATATTGTCCCTCTCTGTCCTTTTGTCCAAGTGACCCCAGTAACCAACAATGTCCCGCACAAACAAGTGCCAAATGTCAGTGCCTCTGCCATTGCCACAGGCTCTGATTTTTAGAGCAATGTGAAGTGATCCTCTAAAATATAATAAATACTTGTTTTTCACAACAATAGTTTTTCTCAACAATAGTTTTTCAATAAAATACAGAATACAGTTAAATCCGAGCTGGAGGGCAGATCAGAATCATATGAGGGAATTTGCTGTGTAACTGACATTTTGTGGATTTGTTAACCTGGATTATGGTTAATATCTTTGCAATAACCGGGCCTATCCACATGAAACAAAAACTTGTACAAAGTCCAACATCTCTGCCATCCTAAATAATCAGAAGTGAAATGTTTTTATCACTGTAGTTTCAAACAGTGGAGTCATTATTCAACCCCAAAGATGTGGCTGAGTTTGTGGAGTCCCTGACAAATGATGTTAAGAGTCAGCATTTGTGGATCATACGTTCTGACCACAAGACCGTGAATCTCCCATATGGATATATAGACCCCTGCCCTCCATTGGAAATTATGGTATCATCAAATGCAGGAACATGAACACCAACTATGAGATCGCTGATTGCCAGTATTATTCATAATCTTGTTTCATCTAAAGCTTTGTATTTCCAGGTCTGATTACCACAACAGCGAGGAAACTGGATCGGGAACAACAAGCGGAGCACTTTTTAGAGGTACAGTAAAAAAAAGTGTTTATGGTGTTATTATTTATGCCGCTCTGACACCTGCCACAGCCTACTATTAACAGAGACAGGGTGGAGGACATCCGTGGCATACCCTGAAGGCTCCATAAACTGTGATGAATAGCTGTAGTTTGGAGCCCCCTGGTTTAGGATTTTCTAAATGTAATCATTCATCATTTGGTTATCTTCTCTGCTCAGGATGGGGAACAGGGGAGGAAAGGAGTCGCTCTTGCCCAGGCGTTTGATAAGCGCAGACACTGGGCATACAGATAGCTGGGTGATTACCATTTTCGGTTGCTCTCTCCGCTCTGAATGCAGATTAACTAGATAATCACACATTCAACACTTCAGAGGCAAACTTTTTCCCTCCCTTGTGTCTCCATACGACTTAATAAATGTTGAGCTCTATGCCCTTCAACAAAATGGGAAGAAATAACCCAAAGTTGACCCATGGTATTGCTTACACTCTCTGTTGTTTTCTACTACAAGTGGCTTTTGTTTGGAGTTAATAACCTGTGTTCACATTTGCTTGTCTCAAGTACATATAAAAGAACACAGAATGGCAACAAAATGAAATCTCTGAACAACAGTAAAACTGCATTATAAGGAACATTGTATCTATTGTAAGGACATTAGGTAGATTAATTACAAAATGATCACATATTTAAGATAAGGTCAAAAGTCGTTTGCTGCTACAATCTTATGCTGTCTCACTTGAGTGGATATTCCAGCCAAAGCTTGCCACACGCCACTCAGGCTGCCAGTCTGTGCAGTAATTAATAGTCTAGTGAGCAGGCCGGCTGGCAGCAGCGGTGTTCGCCCTTATCTGATCCAATTGATCAGTGATCAGACCTCTGCCACCGCCTCCAGGGGATCAATAATACACAGATTTCTCGTGAGCGCTGCTCCACGTGGCACTAAACTCTGCGACCACAGTCAAAGCAGAGATATTAGATTATGATAATTGAAGGCATTGACATACTACCCACATGCAATCAAACATGATTCTTGTGCCAAAAATACACAATGTAAACAATTATTAGATTTCACTTTTATTTATACTTCTGTTGTTCCAGCGATGTATGCACTGTACTTGTTACTTTTGACATTATGAATTCTATGAGTGAAGTTAAACTAAATGATAATGAATCTACTATGATAAATCATAAATTAATGTAGTCAATTTTATGCTAACTGTATTGAGGTCTATTGCAAAGTTGTAAAGTGGTATCAGAATGGTTGAATGTGTTATCTGTATTGGAAATATAGCAATATGACCTCAATAAATAATACAATTTAAATGTAATTTGTTTTGAATAATTTGTATTGCCTACTATTTCTTACAGGTTACAATCATAGATGGTCCAGTGGCGACTCGACAGTCCACAGTCTGGGCCATAGTCCACATTGAAGATGAGAATGACAACCCACCCACCTTCCCGGAGCTCATGTACCGTATCCGTCTGCCTGAAGCGAGATAGAAACAAACGTGGAGAGCCAGTCTACCGCGTCTTTGCTTACGACCGAGATCTTGGGGCCAACGGAAACATCACCTACTCTATTGTAGCTGGAAATGAGGATGACAAGTTCACCATTGACCCCCGGACTGCCACGGTATCATCCAAGAAGATGATGTTAGCAGGCAGCTTTGACATCCTTACGGTGAGACTTAGGGTTCGGGTTAGGGTGAACACAATATAACACTTACTATTAGAACCATCTTCTTGTTATTTATCGTCACTGTTTTTGGTGGTGCCTTGTTTAATTTGGCATATGACCAGTTTATTACAGTTCTATCTTATAGGTTAGGCAATATTGTCCTTGTCAAGTGTGTTCAATCAAAACCTTCTACACCTTATAACAACAACTTAAGCAACTGTGTTATTCACTTCAGAATCAGAAAAGTTTTACTGACATTGTCAGTGAACAAAATTCACAAACTAGTAATAATTTGTTCATTTGCTTTGGTGATATGGTGCAGCATAAAATTAACAGTAAAATATAAAATATGATAAAATCAAAGGCATATACTTTATGGTCATAATGGTATGCTTGATCTACATACATCCTGCTCTAACACTGTATACCTAAACCATATTCCTTACACAGTATGCTGCATAGAATCCAATCAACTTAATGTGATCCAGGGCAGGAGGTCACCTATGTTTGAGAAACACCCTCTAAAATGAGAACAACGTGGCTGACAGAGAGGTCAGGACCTGAATAGTATACCGGCAGCTGTGTGGGCAGCTCATATTAGACCTCAGGACCCCCAATCTAAAGAGCATTAGAGGTGAACTCTCAAGCAAACAAAACCAGAACTACTGAACTCAATTACTTCCTCTCACTTAGCAGACAATTCCATTTGGGCCCAACTTGAAAATACTGATAGCTGTCTATTGAGTAAAAAAAAAAAAAAAAAAAAGACACTCCACTGATAAAAATAAAATTTAAAGCCTTTATTATAATGTGTCTACCAAATATAAAAACATGCATCAACATGGCCTTTGTTAGAGTGTTCCAAATCCTATAAATAAAGCATTTGAAGAAAAAAATGCAAATTATATGACTTTTTATTAGGGCCCGACCGATATTTTCGGTCGATATGGGCACCTGGAAACATATCGGCGGTCGGAATAAATCTTGCCGATATGTGCCGATATTTTACGTGGGCATGTATACCTCGCTATGAAGCTTAGACTCTCTATATTATGTTCATTTAATCCAATTTACAGACAGATAAATGTCCTAATATGTGGCTCCACATCAGTATTTATCTGCGGACTAATTGTACTGTGTGTGTGGCCGTACTGTCCCTGAACACACCCCCAGAGTCACGTCACTCACGTGCTCTTGTTTACATCCTCAGACACTGAGACATATTCTTTTTACAGACAATCGGTTTGAGTCTGTATTAAAAGGACATTTATTAGTGCAGTCTTGTGATGTGAGGAGGAGCTGTGAATAGAGGTGTGAATTATGACATTTATGCATATAATTAATTACAGCGGCGCGCACGCATTTACAACTAAAGGCTAATAGCAGTAGTTTACTTTCTTTATTAGCTAGTAGAGATGGGTCGGTCGCGGACAAAACGACTCTTAGAGCCGGCTCTCTGAAGCGAACAACGGGAGCCTACTCCTTATTGGAAGTCATGTTTTCTCTTTCTCTCACTTTTTTTCTCTTCAGACCGCATGCAGACTCGTGTTAGCTTGACAGCGGGCAGCGGCTGAAAACCAAACTTTCAGAAATATGCGTGTGCATAGGACAGAAAAAACGTGCATATTTGGCTGTAGTTCAACATTAAATAAATAAACCAGGACTAATCTTGGGCTCACTGTCGTTGCCCACGTGGGCGTTGAAGTCCCCCAGTAGAACAATGGAGTCCCCCGGGCGGTGCACTGTCTAGTACCGGGCTGTGCCCGGCCGGGCCCCGTGGGGGAAGGTCTGGCCACCAGACGCTCGCCTTCGAGCACCCACCCCAGGCCTGGCTCCAGGGTGGGGCCCCGGTGATGCCATTCCGGGTGACGTAACTGGCCTCTGATTGGAACTCATCATGTGGGACTTCTGAACCGTTCTTCGTCTGACCCGTCCCCAGAACCTGTTTGCCTTGGGTGACACTACCAGGGGCATGAAGCCCCCGACAACATAGCTCCCAGGATCATTCGGGCACTCAAACCCCTCCACCACGATAAGGTGATGGTTCAAGGAGGGGACACTTGGAGAGGGGTGACTGGGAGGAACGGCCTCCCCAATCTGAACCCGAGCGGCACCAGGACACTCTAGGCCGGAGGTCGATGATCGACTTTGTAGGCCGCGTGTCTAGGACACTTGGGTGAAGAGAGGGGCTGAGCTGTCAACTGATCACCACCTGGTTGTGAGTTGGGTTCGCTGGCAGAGGAGGAAGCCGGAAAGACCTGGCAGGCCCAAGCGTGTAGTGAGGGTCTGTTGGGAACCGGCGGGCCAAGCGTGCTGCAGCTCGTGTGGTTGCAGAGGCAAAAACTCGGAGCTGGGAGGAGTTCGGGGAGGCCATGGAGGAGGACTATTGGATGGCCTCAAAGAGATTCTGGCAAACCGTCCTGCGCCTCAGGAGGGGGAAGCAGTCCTTCACCAACACTGTTTACAGTGCAGGGGGAGAGCTGTTGACCTCGACTGGGGACGTTGTCCGGCGGTGGAAGGAATACTTTGAGAATCTCCTCAATCCCACCGTCACGTCTTCCTAGGAGGAAGCCGAGGCTGGGAACTCGCAGGCGGATCCATCACCCTGGCTGAAGTCACTGAGGTGGTTGGAAAGCTCCTTGGTGGCAAGGCTCCGGGGGTGGACGAGATCTGTCCTGAGTACCTTAAGTCTCTGGATGTTGCAGGGCTGTCTTGGCTGACACGCCTCTTCAACATCGCGTGGCCGTCGGGGACAGTGCCTCTGGACTGGCAAACCGGGGTGGTGGTCCCTCTGTATAAGAAGGAGGACCAGAGGGTGTGTTCCAACTACACTCCTCAGCCTTCCCAGTAAGGTCTATGCCAGGGTAGTGGAGAGGACAATCCGGCCGATAGTCGAACCTCGGATCCAGGAGGAGCAATGTGGTTTTTGTCCTGGCCATGGAACACTGGACCAGCTCTACACTCTCCATCGGGTGCTCGAGGGTTCATGGGAGTGTCCACATGTGCTTTGTGGACTTGGAGAAGGCATTCGACCGTGTCCCTCGTGGTGTCCTGTGGGGGGTGCTCTGGGAGTATGGGGTCCAGGGCCCTTTGCTAAGGGCTGTCCGGTCCCTGTATGACCGGAGCAGGAGCTGTGTTCGCATTGCCGGCAGTAAGTCAGACCTGTTCCCGGTGCATGTTGGACTCCGCCAGGGCTGCCCTTTGTCACCGGTTCTGTTCATTGTATTTATGGACAGAATTTCTAGGTGCAGTCAGGGGCTGGAGGGGGTCCGGTTTGGGGACCACAGGATCTCATCTCTGTTGTTCGCAGATGATGTTGTCTTGTTGGCTCCATTGAACCAGGACCTGCAACGTGCACTGGGGCAGTTTGCAGCCGAGTGTGAAGCTGCTGGGATGAGGATCAGCTCTTCCAAGTCTGAGGCCATGGTTCTCGACCGGAAAAAGGTGGCTTGCCCTCTCCGGGTGGGTGGGGAGTCTTTGCCTCAAGTGGAGGAGTTCAAGTATCTCGGGGTCTTGTTCACGAGTGAGGGAAGGACGGAACGTGAGATTCACAGGCGGATCGGTGCAGCGTCTGCAGTGATGCGGTCGCTGTATCGGACCGTTGTGATGAAGAGGGAGCTGAGTTGAAAGGCGAAGCTCTCGATTTACCGGTCAGTCTATGTTCCGCCCCTCACCTATGGTCATGAGCTCTGGGTAATGACCGAAAGGACAAGATCGCGGATACAAGCGCTCGAAATGAGTTTCCTTCGCAGGGTGGCTGGGCGCTCCCTTAGAGATAGGGTGAGGAGCTCAGTCACACGGGAGGAGCTCGGAGTAGAGCCGCTGCTCCTCCACGTCGAGAGGAGCCAGCTGAGGTGGCTCGGACATCTGTTCCGGATGCCTCCTGGACGCCTCCCTCGGGAGGTGTTCCGGGCATGTCCCACCGGGAGGAGGCCCCGGGGAAGACCCAGGACACGCTGGAGGGACTATGTCTCTTGGCTGGCCTGGGAACGCCTCGGGGTTCCCCCGGAGGAGCTGGAGGACGTGTCTGGGGGTGAAGGAAGTCTGGGAGTCCCTGCTTAGACTGCTGCCCCCGCGACCCGGCCCTGGATAAGCGGAAGAAAATGGATGGATGGATGGCTGGATAATCTTGGGCTCGAGAGAGGGAGAGAGCTAGAGACCGAGTCCCGACACTCAGTCCTGGTTCAGTTCTGGTTTAGTCCTGTTTTACACATGGTTTAGATCTGTTTTAGTCCTGGTTTAGTCCTTTTTCAGTCCTGGTTTAGACCTGGTTCAGTTCTAGTTTAGTCCTGCTTTAGACCTGCTTTAGACCTGGTTCAGTTCTGGTTTAGTCCTGCTTGCAACAAAACAGTCCCAACCGCTTGGGAGCTGAAAGAGTCAGCTGCTTTTAGTGAGCCAAGCCAAAAGAGCCAGTTCTCTAAAAAAAACTGGAATACCCATCACTAGTAGCTAGAATATGATGCAAAAATGTCATTAGGCAGACCTATTGTCTGTAAATATGACGTAAAGAGACATAATAACAATAAATGTTGCCTAAATAAACCCAGTTTAAAATCCACCAGAGCCAAACCTTTTAAGTTTTTTAAACAATTCAAGATTTACAGTGAATTTTTACATCACTAAATATATCGGTGATTATATCGGCTATCGGCAGCTCCAACTCCCATTTATCAGCCTCATATCGGCCACAACAAAACCCATATTGGTCAGGCCCTACTTTTTATAGTTACATATGGTACAAGTGTCCCTGTTTGTATAGTACATTTCATGTCCCAGACAAATGAGTATAGATGTATATTGTGCAAAACTATGCTGAATAAACCTGCACTAAAGTCCAAGTGGTAGACTGTTTACTACTCTTTACTACTAGTGTCCCCTGAAGAGACAAACACAAAATAGAGAAATACATTTTATACAGTGACATCTTAGACAACCTCTTTAGTACAAATAATGTGGATGCCTAAATGAAAACATCTAGGACACATAAAAGGTTTCCTCATTTCTCGGTGATAGTAAGAAAAATCAGTGTAATCTTGTGCAGCTGGGTTCATCCTGGGCCCTGACTGCAGCTATTTGTTATCACTTATGTAAGGGCCTCCCCCAACACATTCCTTTTGTTTTGCTTAATGATGCTTCTATTTGTTATATGAAATAGAGAGCTGCCGGGGACAGCTATCCCATTATACTGTGAGGGCTCAGATCAATTTGGTGGTTGGAAAAAAATATTATTAATTGTCAAGAGTTATGGCTTAGGGCTATGTAGAACATAAGTGATTGTTTCTGCATTGTCAGACACACAAACATTTCATTAATAACTTTTTGTGAATTGATGTTAGCAGTATTCCCCTTTTAGGCTTTCTTACTGTCGTTGATTTAACAAAACCAGAAAGGGTTAAGTCAAGAACAGCATCAGGCATAATAGGGCTGAACAATTTTGGGAAACTATGTAATAGCAATTTTTCTGACAAAGTATGTTATTGTGATTTGATTTGCAATTTACTTTTTAATAGATGAATACAAAAAAGGCATGGAGCACTGACATTTGAGAGAAGACTGAAATATGAACTGCTAAACTAATACAAGAATCTCATGCATTTCAGAACATGTTTGTAAAAGTCTAAAATACAGGTCTAACAGGTTTTATACCCCGACTAAGATTAAAACACTTTTTTGTGTTGCTTATTAAAACTATTCAAATTGCATTTTTCATTTAACAGAGGTATAGCTTGTAGCCCAACAACATGAAAATACAGTAACAGTATATACCGTTTTGGCAAATCAATATGCAAATATATAATATAGGTTATTAAGTTGTAGCTAGCAACTTCAGGTGACAAAAGTAAAAAGCAAGGAACATTTTTGTCTAAATAATATTTGTACTTTTCATAGATCAAAGCTGAAGATAGTGGTGATCCTCCTCTTTGGTCCACTGTCAAACTTTATGTTGAATGGATTCGTAAACCAGTTCCCTCCCCTTCACCCCTGCTGTTCACCCAGAGGTACTACAACTTCTCTGTTCTGGAGACAGCAGCTGTTGCTCAGCCAGTGGGTGTGGTTGCCGTCAGCCAATCAAACATGCCAGTCTGGTTCAACATTGTAGGTAAGAAATGTTATATTATCCAAGATTTTGGGAAAGTGGTCTGGGCAAAATACTGGACAATATAAATGTCTTTTTGGATTTGGCTGAGATGAAATTTAATAAAACTAGAATTCTGAACAGAGCAGCTTACATCAAATAGCATTAGAGGAAATGCATCCTATTTATTTGTTGTTTCCTATTCTGTATTTTCTTGTAATGGCCAAACTGTAACAACTTTGCCAAGACATTACATTGCGACTTTGTTCCCATTTTAAATATCTGTCTGCATCTGCAATGCATGCAGAAATTGCTACTGCAATTAAGACAGCCAAACCACTGAACCATGTTTTATTGCTCAGATAATACAGTCATTTGTTCATTAGGGCTTAAAGATAATCACATTGAAAGCTTTATTAAAAGATGTTTAGTTTCAGCTGTTTAGTATTCCATACATCATTGTATCACCAGTACAAGAAGGGGTGACGGTTTCTCCTCTTAAATCTCCACTATGAGCTCCAATAATAAATTAATCACATCTTCTACACTAGGCTGGTGTATTCTGGGGAAAAAGCCAACTTCTATTACCTAATAGCTGAGAGAAATGTGAAAAGTGTCAAGAGGTCGTCTTTTTAGAGTGCTTTTTAACAAATGATTTGGACCTTTGATCACATAGTTATCGCTCAGTATTTGAATATTAATCATGTTTTCCTCTCTCTCTTTGCTCCTTTGTCTGTGTCAAGGAGGACGCCTTGCCAGAGAAATGTTCTACATCCCACAAAATGCATGTGGAAGGAACTGCTCACTTGATACAGGTCTGGACAAGGCCAGTTTTCACACAATTTCAACTTGCATGTGCTAGATTTGGACAAGTTGAGGAAATTGGGAACCAAAAACTTGTATGCCCCAAGGCAGAGTTTATTGATTTTGAGTTTCTTCTTCTGTTTACAATTTAATATGTTATGCCGCTCGCTTGAAAGGGGAAACATATGAGAAAATAAAAATCTTCAGGCCCGATGTCTTCACAAAATGTATTCTCCATAGTGGCTCATACCTAAGGCTGTCACAAGGCGAGCGGGTCAGGAAACTTTTGTCGGCAAACTTTTACTTTTCAGTATATTTTTATTGCCACCCCAGCTGTATGAAAAAGGCTTTTTGATTGGGCTGTTCAGAACCATGGACAGCGCAGATATTTTTTGTATGCCATACCATAATCCTTCTTTCTTTGTTGGTATTCTGCTCAGGTTTTGTCATTCTACCTGACCATAAAAACAATCATGATAGATTCCTAGGCCATTTTCTCAATATACTGGGCGAACTGTAGCTTTCACCCTGAACTCCCCTTCTGAACAAGTTGGGTATTTTGAAATATTTCTCAATCCCCTGAGCACCCACTTTATTACATCTGGATATACTCAGCTTGGCTCCCTCTTCTTGGCCATGCTCAGGGAGGCATGCAACTTATTATGTGTGACAGATCGTAAGTAACCAGCTCCACCTGCATATGCAATGTTAATTCATACACCTTCATTATATCCGCTTGTTTGGGATGCTACGTTGATTTGTTTGGGAGATGCTAATATGAAATTGCTGTGACAATATCCTGACATCCTTATTTATGCTTTCCTGGAACGCACCATCAGGCTAATGTGCCCTGCTTACCATCCAAAGTTTCCTGCATAGACTCCACTGGTTAATTTGTACAGTTTTAGAGGCTGCGTTTGTAGCTAAAAACAAATTGGACAAGTCTCAAAGTACCAGTCCTGCCCGTAGAGCCTTGTTTGTGCCAGACACTAAAGTGGATATTTCTGCTGTTCTGTTGAATACCACACACTCTTGATTTTGTTTTTTTGAATACTGTATTATTGTTCACTCCTAGTGTAATATCAACTACCTTTCTTTAGTAAAATGTACAAGTGAATCCCAGTTGCGTGCTCCAACTCAACACGCATCAGTGACTCTGTGAAAAATGCCCAATAAGTATTCATATGCTGAGAAGCGCCCAAGCTCCCAGATATCTCCAGAGAGGAGAGGGAATGAGACGAAGGATGGTACTGAATACTTAACACGTATCAATCGTCTTCCTGGCTCTAATCTAACATTGCGCGTCTAAACTGTACACTGGTCGCCCGTGGAAACGACCCGGCTGTGGATTTTTGATCACAGAGATGGTTGTGTTTGGAAGTGATAAGACAGATGTTTGTGTAGCTGTTAGCGGCTCTAAGGCCAGTGAGTGCTACATTACATAGAAGTGCAGTTCATTTTATTTCACAGAGCCCCCAGCCTCAGACATAGGCACCTAGCCAAAACAATTACACAGTAATAACTTAGAGCACCTGAGTTTCGCACGCAGACTGAATACTTAATGACCAAAACTGATACGTGGCTTTGTGGGTCTTGCTTGCAGGGAGCTTTGACATGCAGTTTGACCTCCAAGTGGGGGTGGGGACATTGGTGGTGGCCAGACCTCTGGATGCAGAGATGCAATCGGTGTACAACATGACTATCCAGGTGACAGATGGTAGCAGCCTCGCCACGGCACAGGTATGCACTCTTGTGATTTGTTACGTACTGGCCTCACTTCTTATACGCTCATGACCCATGTCAAATTAAATTATTGTTAGTCCTTCCCAGGGAGAGTTGTTTACTCTCATTGCTCATCCTTCCTGTGCTTGCATTTTCTTTTTTTCTGAAAACATCCCTTGCTGACTATGAAATGTGCTTTTGTCAGTCCCTGCTCGTTCTGCTTATGAAGCCTTAGCTGGCCCACTACGACTGACTTGAAAGGAAATCCCTGATAACAGTGGATTAATGGGATTAGTCTACACATAGAAAGGTCAAGTGTAACAAAGCTTGCCCACAACATTATTTTACAGTATAATACTAAGACCATAAATAATTTCCAAAAGTTTAGTAGCTTCACCATTAGCCTCAACAGCATAAACGAGACCTATATTTCTTTTTGATTTAGGTTTTCATCCGGATTTTGGATAGCAATGACAACCCTCCAGTATTCTCTCAGTCTGCGTACGATGTGAGTGTGTCTGAGGATATTCCAGTGGACACAGAGCTTCTGCGTGTGCGAGCGACAGACGTGGATGAGCGTGCACGTTTGAGCTTCTCCATCTACGGCTCAGTGGATCCTGCCAGTATGAGGCTGTTCAGAGTCAACCCTGGGACCGGGGTGGTCTACACTGCAGACAGGCTGGACTATGAGGCGCGGACACAGCACATTCTCACTGTTATGGTAAGATATGCATGTCTCTCTAAAAAAATTTGTGAACTGTGAATAATATACCCTACAATATATACAGTAACATATTGTGTCTTTTAATCATTATAGTCCATGTCCATTCTTTAGATCAGAATAATGCAAAAACATATTAACAGTTAGCAAAAATTAAAAGGACTCTATTAGAGATAGACCGATATCAGTTGGCCGATTTGTCAGGTGAATATTTGCACTTTTTCACAGTATCACCTTTGAATTCTGGAATTATTTAATTAATATAAAGTGTTTTTATTGCTTAAAAGTTACCTTGTATAAACATCTATTCTTACTGTGAGTGGGGTTGCCTCTCCTCACATCTGACCTATAATTTGGTCTGGTGGCGCCCAGCACCATCAATGGATTTATTGACTAAACAACTAAAGGACTGCAGCCCAAATCTTTAGCTACTCTACAAATACAGATGCTGCTTTTACTGCTGTATTATTGCTCTAATAACTGTCTACTCTATGTTGTGTTTAATAATCAGCCTCTTCCTTTCACATAGTTTTACTATGAGCCTTCAGATGTGCCGTGCTGTACAGTATGTGTGTGTCCTTGTGCTCTCTTCCAAACCGTGCGCCCTTTGGCACCTCTGTCTGCTGTGCTAATTTTAGCTGATTTCATTTATTGCCTCCTACAACTCTTTCCATATTCATCTCTCTTTTTCCCTGATGTTGCTCTAGGTCAAGGATCAGGAGTTTCCATTTAACCGTGACCTGGCACGGATCCTGGTTGCTGTGGAGGACTCCAACGATAATATCCCATACTTTACCAGCACTGTGTATGACGCCACTGCCTACGAGTCTTTCTCTATAGGCACCTCTGTCTTGCAAGTCACAGCTTTAGACAAAGACAATGGGATTAATGGACAACTTGCATACAGCATAGAAGCAGGTACATAAGCAAAAAAAAAAAAATCATTATTATTCACATTTGTGAACTGTGATTATCATATTTAGCCTAAAGAGACTAGATTTATGTTTGCTAATCAGCTTTTTGGATTTGTCAGTAAATAATGGTGTTGCTATTCCTCTCAGGTAACACAGGTGGTGTGTTCAGCATAGATAATAGCACAGGCCTAATATTCACTGCCCGGGAGTTGGACCTTACCTGCGTTGGCTTCTACACCCTCACTGTGCGGGTCACTGACAGTGGATTTCCTCCTCTAATGGCAACAGCCACAGTCCGCATCGCTCTGACCCTCTCCGAATTTTCCACACCCAAGTTCACACAAAGGGAGTACCAAGCTGAGGTAAAAACTTGCTATTAAAACAAAATCAACCATAACATTATTACCATTCAAAGGTCCTGCTGTTGTTGTTGGGCAAGGCACTTCATGCAGCTTGCCTAGGTGTGTGCATGAGTGATTAATTGTGGTTGGAGGGGCACAATTTGGCAGCCTCACTTAAGTCAGTCTACCATAGGGCAGCTGTGGAAACTGCTTATTATTATATTACCTATGAGTATGGAGAGAATGGAGAAGATAAAGTAAAGTATAGTGCTCTGGGAATCTAGAAAGTTACTATATAGATTCAAGGAATTATTATTCCTGTTATAAAGTATAACACAATTAACACTTAGGTTGTCCTTATTGTATACCTGATAATTATATAGTAGTATATCTAATGTACAACCCTGTTATATTAAGCACTTCCTGATGATTGTATAGATCATGGAGAACAGCACCATTGGAACTCATGTGACCACTGTGAGTGCCATAAGCCGCTCTTCTCTTATTTATGACCTTGGCCGAGGCAATGAAGATAACTGCTTTGACATCAACCATCACACCGGTGTAATCATGACTCGCAAACTGCTTGACTTTGAGGTTTGTAAAATGGACTTGATTTTATTCACCTTGTGCCATCAATGCTTTGAATGATGTTATTTTAATATATTCAGACAGGAGTGCTAAAGCCACTTTATACTAATGGCAATTTTGTTGTTTTTGGCAGCAAACAGCCTCTTACGTTCTAGTGGTGAATGCTTTGAGTATGTCTGGAGTAGAAGCCAGCTCTTCTGTCCTTATCCAGGTTGGAGATGTCAATGACAGCCCCCCCGTATTTCAAAAACTCAGGTATGCAACCATGGTGAAGTTATCCATGCTTTGATATGCTCTTGTGTTTTTGTACTTTGAAGCCCTGCAACATTATTATTGTGGTCCTTGTTTCCAGGTATGTTGGTGTAATCAGTGAAGCAGCTCCAGTCAACAGTGTTGTTCTGGGAGAGGATGGTACACCTTTAGTCATCCAGGCGACTGACAAGGATCGTAATCACAACTCCTTGTTAGTGTTCCAGATTATAGATGAGACCGCACGCATGTTTTTCAGTGTGGACTCTGGGACTGGCTCGATCCGGTAAGCCATTTTCAATATGGCAGCATGTTTAATAGATTTAACTTGTACAGCTCCACAGGGAGAATAAATCAGGGCACTAATTATCAGATTGAGAACATTTTTAAAAGTTTGGTATAATCACCACTAATCATAATTATAATAATAGTCACATATAATGTCATGTCAATTCACAATAATTATGATTGTTATATGTATACACTTTTTAAAAATGAAGCAGAATAAAAAAATGTACTTTTTCCTAATATTTGTTTTTTATGTATCTGTACAAATACATGTGCACTACATGTACACTACATTAACTAAAAGTTAATTGAGTTACCTGTCTGATTCTTACTTTTCAGGACAATTGCTTATTTGGATTATGAGACCTTTTCTGATTTTATGTTTCGAGTTCACGTCCGAGACAGCGGCCACCCTCCTCGTACCGCCGACAGCCCTGCCGAAGTGATTATAAAAGTTAGTTCATCTGTTATCTTTCCAAACCATAAAGACGTTTTCTCTTGCCTGTTTTGATTTCTTAGATGGACAATACTGCTACTGCTATTGTCTTGCCCTTATTAAATCTGAGTGCATTTGCTGTCTTAGGTGATCAACATCAACGATTCCCCTCCAAAATTCGCTCAAGACACTTATGAGGCTGTCCTCCTTTTGCCAACTTACTTGGGTGTTGAAGTTTTACGGGTTGAGGCGTTTGACCCTGATTTGACCTCTGAACCCGACAGCTCTATGACATCGCAGCTAATCTACTCTCTGGTGGATGCCGAATATTTCTACATTGAACGCTACACTGGCATTGTGACCGTTGTAAATCCAAACCTCAATAAAGAGCGCTACCGTTTCAATGTAAAGGTGAGTTATAGACCATATAGGCTTAAAGTTCCACATCATAGACAGAATTTCTATTTAGTTTTTTATTATTTCTCAAAACTTGGATAGACAAAAACTTACATAAAAATGATTTCTTTAGGTCATGGTCAAAGTACAGGGTCAGATGCAAGGGTAGAACTCAAATTAATTGTTTATGTTTATGTGTCTCCTTGTAAACTGAGTTGTTAAGAGACTTGCTTCAATGCTCTCCTGTCATCCCATTGCCTTTGTTGTCCTTATATAACTCAGAGAGGGCAACATATGAGGCATGATTATGAATGCACATTATGACCCAGCCAAGAATTAAGGGCTGGCAAATGTGACACCATATATTTTAGTTTAAAACCAGTAGTACTGATAAATGTTTTCACTGGGTTGGGGGTGTAAAGATTGCCAATCATAGAATATGAAAAATGTAAGCATAACAAAACCATTCAGTATGGAGTTTGTAATTTTTACCCCTGTCTCCATATGCATTTTAATTTTGCGTTGTCCACTTGGCCTTTGATAGTGGCAGTGTCACCCACAGCAGTTCAGAACTAACCCTCAAGCCTTTCGATCTACTTCAATCGTAAATAGGACCAAACCAGTGCTAAACCAGGGATATATAAAACAGTTATGTAAAATAACATAATTATATAGTGTACGTAATGTCACTTGTTCTGTTTTTTAGGTTTGGGATGGCCGTTTTTCCAGCATGACGTTAGTGACAGTGCTGGTTCGTGAAGCTCTGGACAGTGGTCTTCTCTTTGCGTTACCAGTCTACTCAGCCTCTGTCCGCGAGAACACAGCTAACATTACCATGCTAACTGTGGTAAATACTGTCGGCCATCGCCTTAATGAGCCCCTGAAGTACTCGCTACTGAATCCTAGTGGGCGATTTGAGATCCGTCCCACCTGTGGAGTACTGTTGACCACGGGGAAGCCTTTTGACAGGGAGGAGACTCCAACATACACACTGGTGGTGGAAGTGCGAAGAGAGGAGGAGGTACTGAGGGTGGCCAGAGTCACCGTGCAAGTACAAGTGAGTTTTTGTACTCCATAAATGCATGTGCAAAGGACTGTACAACATCTTCCATCAATGCTCCAGTCAATTACTAAAGTATGGAATTGAAAATATTATGTGTATCTTTATGCACAGTATATCACTAATAATTACAAAATTCAAATAATCATGATTTTAACCATATCTCATAGTTGCTACTGAGATAGGGCAGTTTTATGACAAAGGTTTAATATTTTTGACCTTAGGTAATTTAAAATGTACAGACTCTTAAGCAGAAACAATTAGAAGTTTTAGGTCACATAGGTTAACTTTTTGTTGAAGCTCATAAGGCTTATGCACACTGTTCGCAAAATTGTACAGGAGTGGTGCTGCAAAATTACACTGACATCTTGTTTCAAAAAATTTGGTGTTTGCTCTAAATTCAGACTCCAATGTATACTTTGTAGTTCAACTGAAACTACATAAAACAGTGGTTTATTGTGAATTATTACTCTAACTAAGCCTCAATAACCTTATGCTACTTTCTTCAGGTAGAGGATATGAATGACAACACCCCTTTATTTATGAACCTCCCATACTATGCTACTGTCCAAGTGGAGGCCGAACCCGGATCTGCCATCTTCACTGTGTCTGCCTCAGATTTAGACAGTGGAGTCAATGGAGACATTATCTACAGCCTCAAGGAGCAACACAGAAACTTCCAGGTATAATATCTATTAAAAATAAAGTGTTGAAATGTGTTGAAATTGTAATTCTCTGTAACTGCATAGTAGAGAATAGCATGACAGCTCTTTTTATTCCCCTTTTCATGTATGTTTAGTTGTATTTTAGTAATATTAGTAGTGTGACGTAAGCCATGTTTGTAATCAACAAAAGGAACTGGTATTAACTGGTAATTAATAGTACAAAACAGGGTCATTAAATCAAAAATCAGATCCCTATTTTTATATAAAGGTATTTTTAAAAAAACAATTAATTTGATGTTGTCTACAGGTGAATCCAGTTACAGGAGAGCTTACTCTACTGCAAGCTTTTGAATCGGATCTCTCTAATGCAGAGTATATACTAACCATTGTGGCCACTGACAGAGGATTCCCCAGTTTGTCCAGTGAGGTTGAGGTCCCTGTCAATGTAGTGAACAAGGCAATGCCAGTTTTCGACAAGTCCTTTTATGGAGTCACTGTCCGAGAAGATGTTTCTATCTCCACCTCTATCCTGCGCATCAACGCCACCTCTCCTGAGGGCCAAAGTGTCATCTTCACTATCACAGACGGGGACCCTTCACTGCAGTTCGACATTGGTTTTGATACTGGAGTTATCTCTGTTATCTACCCGTTAGACTATGAGACCACCCAGTATTACAGACTGACAGTGAAGGCGACAGACACACTCACTGGTGCCAAGTCTGATGTGGATGTAGACATCGTCGTGCTGGATGTGAACGACAATCCGCCGTTGTTCCAGAATAATTCCTACTCTGCCGTCCTGTCGGAAAATGTCATGATTGGGACAACAGTTTTACAGGTTTGTGTTAAACTGAAATCTTTCTACATACAGTGGCTACATGCTGTAAATATGTAGACTCTTAGACACACTTGAGAGGCATTGTATGAATTATGTATGCTTATACATATTTAATACAAGTGACTATTTAGAAACTTTGCACACAGCCTTTGAGGTCAAAATGTCACAACATGACAAGTTTAGCCTTTGGTATGGAAAATGTACATTTATCTTTAAATTGCTTTTATGGTTAAATGTACAATTTCCTATCAATATTAGGGAGAAATATTGATTACTGATTTAGAGAAATCAGTGCCAATTAAAAAAAATCAGCCTTAAAACATTAAAAAAAAAAAAATTTGTTATTAACAATTATTAAGAATTATTCTGGTTTAGTAACTACTTAATAAAGGAATTAGGGTATTATTTAAGTAGTTACTAAGCCTTCATTCTTCATTCAATCATCCTTAATAAACAATGTGTTCATTATGAATTAAGTCTTTGTGCATTAAAGCTGTTAAAAGTGTAGTTATTAGAAAGTGTTACTGACTAATCTCTTTAAGGTTGTTTTGCTGTGGATTTGCTGTGGTAAAGAAGACCACTGCATTTGTAAGGGTTTAAAAAAAAGTGTTTTTCTTTTCCATTTCAGTTCACAACATCTTAACTCTATATGTAAAAAATATAGTGGAAGTTTTCAATAGAAGGGGTGCTGATTAAACCTGCTGTGTGAACTGTTTTCTTGCCAAGAAATTGAATGCAAAACTTAATTTACTTTTTCCACTTGCTGTTGCTGTACTACTTTAAACTGCATCTAAAGAAACAAATCAACAGGTTTTGAATAATGCATGAGGTGTTTTCTCTCTCAGAGTTTCATAGTGTGCCTGTTTTGTAGGTGTTCACGCTGGATCAAGACACAGAGAAGAATGCCTTAGTGAGTTACCAAATCCTATCAGATATTTACAACAGTTCAGACTACTTCCAGATTGACAGCAGCAGTGGCCTTGTATACACTGCCCGTCTCCTTGACTACGAACTCCTCCAAAGATACAACTTTATTGTCCGGGCGACAGACAGTGGAGATCCGCCCCTCAGCAGTGACGTCAGCATCACAGTGACTATAACAGACACCAACGACAACCCTCCCAACTTCAGCCAAACTCTTTACGAAGCTTTTGTGAGTGAGCTGGCACCCAGGGGACACTTTGTGACCTGTGTCCAGGCCTCAGACGCAGACATTTGTGATGCAGATAAGCTCAGGTAAGGCAGGTTATAGTACTATTATAGTACTAATCTAGAAAAAGTAAAGCAAAACTTTTAATTCCTAAAAAATTTAAATCTTGTGAAAGGATACTTACGCACACAAATTAGACTTACTGAAACTCATTAGCAGTGGTTCTCAAAGTCAAATCTGGGCACTGGTGTGAAACTGGGGAACTGTCTACAGTGGAATCCGCTTTAGGTAACATTAGAACCAACAGAAAGTATTTTATTCAAGTTTTAAGTGAGAAATAAATGCACTTTTCATTTCACAAGTTGGAGAAACTGATGCGCATAAAAAGTAAGAAGTAATTTTTTCCATTTCATTTCATTTAAATTATTACCACTTAATACAAATGTGTAATGCTGCTCATGCTAATGGTGCTTACTTTTTCAGCAACAATTTTGATTTGTGCTCCCTGCATCAAATTTTAATGATGTTTTTGTACAATGGAATAAGATTTCATAATAATTGCAAATGATGTACATCTGGGGTCATACTCAAGTTCGTGTTTGGAGTAAACTTGGTATAATAATGAGAGATTTGTTGTTGTATGGTTTCCATCTAGAGACTCACTACTTTCAATTGTTGTTTAATATAAAACAACATTGCGCTAAAACTTTTTATTGCCTGCAGGTACAGTATCCTCTCTGGAAATGAGCGCATGACTTTTATGATGAAGTCAGATACAGGAGTGCTTACTCTGTCTAACAAGAGGAGACAAGGCATGAAACTGTCCTATCAGCTCAATGTTTCTGTGTCAGATGGAGTCTTCACTAACACAGCTCAGGTGAGAAGGCCTGATCTTCTCTCTAATTTACTTCTGTCAAAACACTGGATATTCTTCTTTTTTGGTACAGATATAGAGTGACCTGTGTATTGACCCTTAACATTGCATTTAGTACATGGTGCATTGTGATGTCTGCTACTCATGGTTTTAATGCTCTTAAGGTTAACGTGTATCATAGCAGATTGCAGCTTGTTCTATGCAACTTTTCTGGTGGTTGCATAGAGGTTGTCTCCATGAACATGTTATTGCTTTTGCCTGGAATGTTTCAAATTGTGGGATTCAGTGTTTCTCACATGTATTCAGTTACATGTGTATTTGTTGCTCTAAAACAAAACATCAATTCTTAGTGTGAGTGGAGTTTCCTCTCCACAGATGTGACCAGTAACTCGACCTGGTGCCATCACCATGGAAAGCAATAATATCTCCATGTAGGTCAAACAGGTTCGAATACCCTGGAAGTTATATACTGCATTTTTAAATGACTAAATATTTTTCGTTTTTCTTATTACTGATACCATTCACTAGGCATAAACTAGCATTTGCCTTTATAAGCTGCCAAACCAATATAAATGCAAAATGTCATATCTGGAAGGGCAATTGGTATATAAAAATGGATTACTATTGCCACAGTGCAATTATCTGTACAGTGTGCCTGCTGTTGATTTGCCTTGTTAACCTCATTGGGAATCACTACTGTGTATTGTTTACTATGTGTAGTTATTATTCATTGCAGGTGAGGAGTTTGAGTTTGTTTATATTTATTGCTTTGTGATAATTATCTTAAGCGTTTGTGTGTCAACATATGAGTTCTTGATATAGTATTCTTAAAATGCCTTTAAACCAGTACATTCTTTTTTTAACATTCTCAAACTGTGACTTTCCAACAGCTCAACAACAGAAATAAAAAATGATATTTTCTTCTTTCCAGGTTATCATCCGTGTTTTGGGAGCTAACTTATACAGCCCTGTTTTTAGCCAGCGGTTCTATCTGGCCGAGGTCAGTGAAAATGCTCCTCCAGGGTCAAGGGTCATTCAGGTACGACCTGTTTAACACAGTCTGTTCAGTGCTTCAGGGCTAAACTAATTGTAAATGCTTTGCTTGTGCCCCAGGTCCTAGCAACTGATGAGGACTCAGGATTATATGGTCAGATCACATACTCCTTTGTCAATGACCTGGGAAAAAGTCAGTTCACTATTGATGCAGATGGAGTTATATCGTCCAATCAGAAGCTGGACAGAGAAAACCCTCTGAATAAAGATATGGTGCTGACTGTGATGGCCCTTGATGGAGGAGGTGAGGGCCATTGAATTTTAAAACATGTGCTCAAAATTTGAGAATCATCTATTTTGTTTATTATTTATTTTTCAGTATTGTACTTTGTGTATGCTTTTTTAGAAATGTATTTTGTGAAGGCAGGGCATTGCAGGTGAATATGGTGAAACAAATAATGACACCGAATTGAACTATTAAATGCTTAAATTATTCAAAATTTAGTTTTGTCATGTTGAATTTGAAAAGTAAGATGTTCAAAGGTAAAATTACCAAAATTTCTATTTTGACTATTTATGCAATGAAAATAAACAATCTAATGTGGCGATTGGAAATGTCTGTTTTTACTGGTAAAGGGGCAGCTAAAGGGGCAAGAGGGTACAACTCCTGCTTGTATCCATATTGTTTTTGCTTTACCTATAATGTTCCAGAGTATGGCATAAAACTTATCTGTCTTCATGGAGACAAGCAGGTGACACTACTAGGTCACTTTACAGGTCATATCTGTGTCGGGGTAAAAAGGCTATGCATGTTTTTCAGGTTTCCAGTTGTAAAAAAAAAAAAAAGAATCTAAGAGATTTTGATTTAGGTTTAGTACCATACTGTGGAACATTCTAGGCATAGCAATAACATGCCACGTACATGGATGAGCTATTAATCAAAACAACAACGCTTCTTTTTTTTTTCCTTTTTGAAAGATTGTGTCAAAGAAGTGACATAATCTCAAAAGCATCCTCTGCTTGTAGTGTAGTTGTCTTATGTTGTGTCTAAGATATATTTTATTTGTTTCATTTTGACATTTAACGCATCACAAATACCAACACTGCGCCTGTCAGATAAACACACTTCTATGGCATATTTGAAATAACAGAAGAAAGCCAGTTTAATCTTTTTCATGTATTTTTGACGACAGCTTGCATCTACATTCCTTTGTTCTCTCTTGCAGGCCGTGCCTCTTTCTGCACAGTCAGGGTGGTCCTTGCTGATGAGAATGACAATGCCCCCCAGTTCAGGGCAGTGGAGTACAGAATGAGCATCAAAGCTAACGTGGCTAAAGGATCACTGGTCACTCAGATCCAGGCCACAGACCCAGACACTGGCTCTAATGGGAGAATCACCTACTCCCTGTACAGCGAGGCGCGACTCTCACTGGTCGATGTGCTGGAGGTCAGTGCATCAGATGTTTAATGGACTTTTATATCACATTTGTGCCAATAACATTTTTGGCACAGTCTCATCTTCACCAGGGTAATAGATGTTGATATTAGGACAGGGCATTGTTTGGTAAATCTATTGTGGCTATATAAAGTCTGTAACATTTTTTTTGTCTAGTTCAAATGTTGATCTAGATAATGTCACACTGTTTCATGACCTCAAAAAGTCAAAATAACCAATGTTTTGTATTGCCAAACAAGATGATATCCTTAAAATACACTATCTGCAGTATGATCTGACTTTTTAGCTTTTACGCTTGATGCATTGATCGAAGAAATATGGGAAAAATATCTTTCTTCTTGACTAAATGCATTGGGTCAGCTGAGTATAAAACTGCCAGTGCTCTGCTGTATGAGCAAACACAGTTAAACTAAGTAATGTATTGGTTTAAAATACATATATCTTTTACCCGTGCTGCGAGTATGTACAGAGGAAGAATTGCAAATAGAGAGGCTGGTGATATGGCTAGATGAAGGCAGATGATTTACTGAGGCAATTGCTGAAATGGATGAGCTAAAATTAAAAACTCAAGCAGTTTAAATGTATAGAATTTTAAGCTGCTGATCCCTTGGGTTCAGCTAATGGGAAGGGGATCCAATTATAAATAAATAAAACATTGTCTTCTCATACTTTAAAGGGCACATGACAGGTTTCCATTTTTTCTAATTATTACTTGGCTTGCTTGGTAGTTTCTGTGGTAAATAATATGGATGCCCCGATACAATACTTCTATCGGATATCTGCCTTTTTGGTGGAAATTTTCGGTTTGGCCGATAGCCCATTTTGATCTATAAATTGTAGTAAAAAGATTTACTAGCTAATGTTGGCCCAAAACATCTCATAATATTAAGCGTGTATTTTTACAAAGCTGTTCAGTAGTTGCAAAACACATTTGGATATTTTTTATCTTGTTTGTGTTTAAAGGAAAAAAATTACATTCTCACTCTCTGCCTAGTATTGTTTGATATTGAGTATTGGCACATACCTAAAGCCAAAGTATCGACATCAGTGTCGGAACAGAAAAATTTGTTTCGGTGCCTCCCTTGTAAATACTGGAAAAGTATGGAAAGGAAAGGAATGCAAGGAATGCATTTTTCTGGTGTTGTAATTTATTTTTATTAGTCTAATCATAACTATTGTGCCATTTAGACAAGCTTTGGCCTTAACAGCTATTGAAATAATACTATGTATTTCATATTATGTTTATGCTTGAGTTAAATGAGTAGTCTAACTTGGCATATGCACTTTAACATAAATTAAGCTACCAAATGTAACTGGATTGTTTTTGTTTTTTGTACAGGTGGAGGCGGACAGTGGATGGATGATGACCAAGAGCACTGTGGACCATCTCCAAGGGACCGTCTTGTCTTTTTTTGTCAAAGCTACAGATGGTGGCTCTCCCCCAAAACACTCTCTGGTCTCTGCCTTCATTCACGTGGTCCCACCGGATGCTTTTGTTCCCTCCTTCAGCCAACCACAGTACTCCTTCACCATCCCAGAGGACACAGCAGTTGGGACAGCATTGGGCTCTGTGTACATGGGTGCAGGACAGACTGGGTTCTTCACTGCTATAGCTGGGGAGACAAAGGATAGTAACAAGGAAGGGACATTTTTAGTGGAGAAGGAGACTGGATTGATTCGGTTGGTTGTGCCTCTTGATTACGAAGAGGTTAACAATTTTAGATTCAAGGTTTCCGCGACGACCAGAAGAGACCTGATAGAGGCTGTGTCTACTGTCGATGTGGAAGTGAAGGTTAGTTATGAAGGAGATGAAAATTACTCTAGAACTATTTCAATATTTGCTTGACTTTACAGTACAGTAATATCATGCCAATGTGATGGAAATAGCATAGTATGAGGTACTGAGGCATAAATCTAAATTGCAACCCCATTTTAATATTATTACCATGAAACTATTGACCCTTTCTCTTGATAATAATAAACTGGGTTACAGTTAACATTTTTCATACTGTATGCTGTAAAGTGAAAGTGAAACATGTAATATAAAATTGATAAACATGTACTAAATCTGCTTTTATTTTTCAATTATTCACAGATCCTTGACATTAATGACAATAAACCACTTTTTGAAACCAACCCTTATGTAGCCACTGTGATGGAGGGCATGCCCGTTGGGACCAGAGTGGTGCAAGTACGAGCGCTTGATCCAGACTGGGGCTCCAATGGACAGGTGTTTAATATTTATTCTACCTTGTAGTGCAATATTACGCAATGTGACACACTTTGTTGAAACTGATTATGTATTTTGACTACAGGTGACGTACAGCATTGGGGCTATGTTAACTAATTCAGAGTTAACAAAGGAAACTCGCTCATTCACTAGTACAGACAGAAGAGCCTCATTTGCCATTGACAGTAAGACAGGTTGGATCACCACATTGACCCAAATGGACCACGAATTCTGTTCCAGCTACAGTTTTGAAGTTGTAGCCTCAGATTTGGGAGAAGCGCAGTCACTATCCTCTACAACTGTTGTAACCATCACTGTATCGGACGTCAATGACAACCCACCTCAGTTTGAGCGGGAGCTGTACCGAGGGGCAGTGAAGGAGAGTGATCCGCTGGGGGAGGTGGTGGCTGTCCTCAAAACCAGAGATCGTGACGGAACGGACCAAAACCGAATGGTCAGCTTCTACATTACCGGTGAGTAAATTACAGCACAACGCCCATGTAATCAAGCCTGATATATCGCCAGCTAAAGTCATCATTCACTGTGCAGTTAGATAAGGTTGAGCTACTTAGAAATTAAACTTTGTTCTCAATAAAAGTTTTATTAAAGGTCACTTTCTGAATTAATTCCCATATATTACTAACCTTTTCCATTTTATTGGTGCCCTAATTTTCATACTAAGTACCACATAGCATGCAAGAACCTCTAAGGCAAAGGCAAAAGTGCACTTTCTAAATTGAAAACTCATCAATTGCTATGGCCATGACTTGACACTTACAACACTGTGCAAGTTCAGTGAAAGAGAAGTATTAGTCAAAGAAATGTGGATTATTGTACAAAATACCTAGACCTCTACCAATATATTTGTGTATTATATATTTGGATGTTAAATCCCACCACATGTATTCCCTTAAATTAACAAACAAAAATCTGTACCAAAACTCCTAGTTGACAACATATCTGTCACCTCAGTTAAACTTGAGTGTAGCACTGTACAACATCAGTGTAAAACAAGGTTAAAGACATTAAAAGTAGTGTAGTCTTTTGTATTCATGTTAGGTTTCTGAACGTGACTGTGATTTAAAACAGTGATAAAGTCGTTGTTTAGAAGGTCAATTTTTATGCTTTGAAAAGCAGCTACCTCGATCTGCGTTCAAACTTGTGAAGATAGATGTTTATTGATTGGGACCTGCATCATGTTCGTGCTTGTTGGCAGCTGGAGAAAGGAGTGGATGCTTTTTGAATGAATAAAACTGCCTTCTGTCAAATGTATTGAAACCCCAAGTCAGGAGTTAAGATGCAGTTGTATAGAATATAAATCCAAGAATAATCTTCTGCAAATCTAAATAAAAGGTAACATTTTACTGAAATTTCAAGGGTTTCTGTAATGTAAAAATGTCCTAGTTTACTGCCATTGTAACCAAGTTGGGACAGAAAAGACACAAGCCAGTTAAATGTTAATATTTTTTTCAGTGCCTAAACTTAATCAGATAGCATTTGTTGTAGATACATAACACTGGATTTTTAATGCAGGAGAAGTTTATTAATCGTCAGGACAGACCCAGCACACAGACATGAACCCTCAAGACATTGTGATAGTGTTGTTCATTCCTGTATAGTATAGTCCTGTCTGGCTATGCTTCCATTGTAGGGAGTATTATATCTCTTATGAGGCTGGTGGGGACAAGTGCCCTAGATACAGCACTGAAATTGAATTTCTCTAACAGCATTGGCCTGTGTATCAGATCACTCTGAAATGATGATAATTATGATTGGTAAATGCTGCATCAGTATGTCTAAAATCATTGTTATATTTATATATTTATATACTTTTATTCAAAGTAAATGGTAAATGCTCTGATTTTTATATAGCACTTTTCCACTTTCAAGACACTCAAAGTGCTTTACATCAAGGAACCACGCACCTATTCACACACACATTCGCACACAAATGTACATAGACACAGTGTAACAAACAGTCAGATAGATTTGACCGGTGCGTTTCTCTTCTAGGAGGGAACTTGCGAGGTGTGTTTGGTTTGGCTCTGGTTCAGGGCGAGTGGAAAGTGTATGTTAGTGGGATTCTGGACCGGGAGCAGCAGGACTGGTACCTGCTCAACATCACCGCAAGTGACGGACTCTACGTGGCTCGCACCGCTGTGGAAGTTACTGTCATGGACGCCAATGACAACAGCCCCATCTGCAACCAGGTCTGGAGCAAAACTCTCTAAACACGGAATAAACACAGAGCAGACGGTGCAAACAAAGGTGGTGATGAGGAGACAGTGTAAAGAAAACTCCAATTTATGATCCAGTTTATGAACTGGGCAATAATTAGTCTTTAAAATGAGCTGCTAAAAGTCTTACATTAAAGGTGCACTGTGTAACTTTGCGTTGGGTGTCCAGCATTACCTGCTTGTCTTCATGGAGTGTTCAACAGTATCTTGCATCAGGGTTGCAGTAAGAACAGAGCTGACCAGTACCTGGGGCTGATGGCATCACCTGCTTGACTTTTTATTACCATGCTGTGGAGCATTTCAGGCAAATAAAATATAGATTATACATTTATTCAGGTTTAAGTGTTGGGCATGTGGCTGCAATGCATGCAATATTCATACATTGGCAAAAGTTAATTACCTTTACAGTAACTATCATCCAGGTTCAGTAAATGCAATACATTTTACAAAACACGACCTTGGTATGAGTTCAATTTTCCAGGTTTAAATATTACATTTGGCTCCTCTAGATCTATGGAAGAAAAAAAAGATAATTGAGCCGCACTGCCCTTAGGGAATATAACAGTAATCCACAATTCCCCAATTTCAAATAGGCTAATTAGTGGAGGAAATCTCACTTTTTATTAAACTTTTACCAATTCTGTTTGAAATCCGTATCTCTACTCTTGTCTGATATTCCCTCTGTTCTGAGAGAGACCACTGAGGGTATTTGGTGTTTAAACTGACTTTCAAATCACTGAAAACGAATCCATTTGGAATTCTACCATCAGTCATTTATTATGTAAATTAAAGGTAATAAACATATTTGGGTATTTGGGAATTTAGTCTCTCCATCTTGTGGTACAAAAAGAAGGCATTTGTAAACATTGTAGTACATCATCTGTCTGGTTCAATGTTGTTCAGGTGCTTCTAAAAATTACGGTTTATTGTGAACTTCAAGAACCATATCTTTTGTGGGTTATCTCTGTATTGCAAGGTTCAGTTTCGAATCTTAAGTGTTTGAATGAAAGAACAATGGTGAACTGGTAACAGATTATTCTCATTCTAGATTTAATAGAATTCTATAATATCTTGTGTCTGATGTGTAATCTTGAACTGCTCTGTACTATGTGTCTGCAATTAACTTCTGTAGACAAACCATTTTAGCTTTTTGTTGGTCCGTTGGTCTCTATGTTGAAATACTGAGGTCAGCAAGGTCCTTTCCAGAGGCACTAGCTGGTAGAAGTGGAATCATAGAGGGCACTTAGTTGTACTCGGTCTGTCAGTGAATGTAATGGGCACATAGCAGGGGAGTATATTTCTGTGTTGTTGAAGCATTGAAATAGCCAATTATTTTAGACAGTCAATTTTAATTTCATTGTTTATACCTTATGTTTAATCTCAGGCGGTGTACAGTGCATCTTTTCCCGAGGACACTCCTACTAACAAGGGAATACTGACAGTGGGAGCAACAGATGCCGACTCAGGATCGAGTGCAGAGATCCAATATTCACTGTTTGGTATTGGTGTGGAGGATTTCTACATGGATGCAAACACAGGTAATCTTGTATTATCATGGAAAAACAACACAGGGATGATTGAACACACCCTCGCCTATATATTTTTTATTTAAGGTGAGATTGGCAGCGGCTGGCTTTAAACATTGGGCAATGTTCTTCTTTCTAGAATGGCATCAAAAACAGGCCTGCTGTATATTAAAACCTGACCATACACTTGTTTATATTTTGACTTTCTTCATGGCATAGAGCAGATTTAACCAAACCTAGCCCATTTAAATACAGTACATGGGTGTTTACAATGGACATTTTCAATTATTATTTTTCTTTTGTTATTATTATTATTATTATTATTATTATTACTTCTTTTTGCGGCATTATTTTTTGTTACCATTACCACTATGTTTCATTACCAAACATATATAAATAAAAGTGCAATATACTTTACCACTATAGTATTTAGTAATCAGTTTAGTTATTTTTGGGGTTCGCTTCTTCTAGGTGACAGTTTTAGAACTATTCACCATCCAAAATATATACTTTTAAAAAAAAATATTGTTAATTACTATAGCATTCTGAATTGTTCATCATTCTGAAACCAACGGAATGTTAGCGCTTTGGCACAAGTTACTAATACTATATACAGTAGGCTAATTTTCATTCCGTTATTCATAGGCGAGCTCCGTACAGCCACCACAATGGACCGCGAGGTGACACCCAGCTACCGTCTCATTGCTCAGGCGACAGATGGAGGAGGCCTGTTTTGCCGCTCTGACATTTCCCTGAAGGTGTTGGATGTGAATGACAATGCGCCGTCTTTCTCCTCCTCTCATTACATGTCGAGCGTGTACGAGAGTGCTGTGCCCAAAGCTTTGCTCACACGCCTTCAAGCCAGTGACCCGGACGAAGGTGAGACCGTAGGGGCTGGTGAATACTTAATCTGACAAATACTTTCTCAGAGCAGTGTTGTGTGAGTCCATTCAAGTGAGAGAGACGGTGACATAAAGCACAGGGGTCATAGTCTAGAGAAGACAACTGGCAAATGCTAACTTCATTGGCCTTAAATATTTAGTTGTGCCTGGAACAAGTTATAAATCAAGCAGATGCACTCTTTAAATGTTATTATTCCTATTTCATTACAAGGTGGTTGTTTTTCACTTTGTTGGTTTGTTCACTGCTTTGTTTAGTACTTCAGCTCGAACTTTATTATTTTAGACAAGGTAAGAAAGGGGCTAAAGGAGCAAGTGATATTAGTGTGGACTTGGCGTATTCTCTCAGTCCCAATTTGCCTCAAGGTTTTTATTTCTTAACAAGTGATTTCCCAGTTGCAGACTAGATAAGGATGAAGCAATGGCTCACTCACTCACTTATTAAGGCATTTTTGACTGACAAAAAGATCCATGGTTTAAGCTTCAGCTCCTGCACTGAATCTATGATAAGGCGAAAGCTAAAACTACCTTAAAAAACATAATTGTTCCTTTGAGCGGGATGACCATCTCCACAGATTTGATCTGTAACTTGGGCTGATGGCATCACCTGCTTGTCTCCATGCATATGCCATACTACTGAACATTCCAGACAAAGCTATAACATAACCCTGAAGAAGTGACAAACCCTCCACAGAAAAGTTACATAGTGTACTTTTAAATATGTGATATAGTTACTTTTTGCCATTTACTTATTTGATTATTTTAATTTCAATCTTTGTAAATACCCAGGTTTCAACCGCACAATTGTTTACTCCTTGTTGGATACTGTTAATGGATTCTTCTCCATTGACCCTATTTCTGGAGTGGTCATTCTCGAGAGGCCTCTAGACAGAGAAATCCGTGACTCTTACCGTCTCCGAGTTCAAGCAACTGACCAGGCGGGACAACAGGGGGCGCTGTCCTCTCAGGTTAGTAGCAATGGGTGCAGTTTCAGCTTGAAAATATTATGCATTGTGCTCACATAGCTCCTTTTGTCTAGTCATTTCAACACATCAACATGTCTATGATGTTTGCAGCATATAATCAAATGTAGATTATGTAGATAGCAATACATCTTCCTGGCTTTTCACAATCTGTTTTTCAGTCCTTACGCATGACTAGAACACAAACCAGTGAATAAAAACATGTTTGTTGACTGCGGAGATCAGATAAGAAAAGCTAAGATTTTAATTTAGATAAAGCCTCACCAAAACGGGATGGGCCACATAGGGGAAGGTGACAGTTATAGAGAAGGAAACATAGCTATAGAAGAAGCCTAAAAAGACGATACAAGCTAAAGATTAGGCTGACTTAGGCCTCTCTATAAGGTCATATCATGGCGTTATAGCTGGATAAATCTGTCATTTTTTTTTGCTTTGGTACACAATGACATTGCTAACTTTGTCCAATATAATTTCTAAGCAGTGCATAAGCTATAATCAGTATCATAAAACAGTCTTTCTTTCAGGACCCAGCGTGCCTGTTGTTTTATTTCACTGAAGACAAGTTGTAATATGTAATTAAAGTGAGGAGCATAAAAGTGTCTCCAAGGCAGAACTTGTAATAGTATTAATAAAAGAACAAAACATGCTCAGAACTTGAAACTCATATATTACTTTGAAGAAACAACATAAAACATTTTACTCCCACTACATTTTTACTCTTACATAGTTTTTTTTTATTAGTCTGTTGACCTTCCACTTAGTTTTGTTCAGGAGTACAGTCGACAGGAGACTTTTCCAGCAACTTGTAGTTTTTTGGCTTGGTAAACAGTTTATAGTGAACCCACAGTGGCAGAGAGGACATTCAGACTGCAATGAATCATACCCACAACCTTCTTGCAGAGGGGCAGGGTGCTTTCTTTACTGCCGTTGTGCATTTGAAAAGAAAAGTCATATTTTACACAAAATATTACTGTATTCTGTTTCCACTTTGTTTGTGTGTCTTTTTTCTTTGTTATAACTAGTATGTGGGACATTTACTTTTTTATAACCAAAATTAAATGTTGACTCGGAATTAATATATCATGTCACTTTTTTCCAATGTTAAATGTTTTATATTGTCATTAGATTGTCTTAATACCATATACGTTGTAAAACTGTAAAAACACTGTTTGACCAACATTGACTTTGTGATAAAACATTCTCAGTAGGCTGTTAAATTACCTTGATAAGCATAGAAATAGAGCCTACAGTAAATCTTAGGAAGTGTCCCTGAGTTATTATCTCTTTTATATTGTCACTGTTGTCTTGGTCAGTAGAACAGTGTGCCCTCTCTCTCCCCTATAATAAACTTCCTGAATGTTGCTTTGGCTATTGGCTTTCCCTGGACACATCACTCAATTGATTTCCCCCAGTCCTTCATCTTGTTAGCAAAGTGTTTAGTAGTTGTATTAATGTTTATAGCCCTTCTGTCTCCCTGACACTAGTGCCCCATAGCCGGCAGTGCTGATAGCACATAGTAAGAAACTCAATATTGCTGTTTTTTATTTCTCCCTCAGGTGGATTTGACCATTTTAGTGCTGGACGTGAATGACAATGCACCAGTCTTTCAGAGGAGAGATTATATGGTCACAGTTCCCGAAGATGTTGCCGTGGGGACAGAGGTGATGCGTGTCCTAGCCACCAGCGCGGACATCGGGCCAAACGCTGAGATCACATATAGCATACGGTCCGGCAATGAGCTGGGCAAGTTCTCCATAGACAGAAAATTGGGTAAGTACTAAGGAGACTGTGGCCATTTCAAGCTTCAGTGCAAAATGACATTGGCCATAAATTCATTAAATATGCAGTTTGACGCCATAACATTATGACCACTGATGGGGAAAAGTGAATGTTATTATCCTATTATCTTTCCCATTTCCGGTACAAGGGATATATTGAGAGCATTTTGTCCTTGAATGACTCTTTGGAAGTAGAAAAAAAAAAAATTGATCCCTGTCCAGGTAATCTTTCACTTTTAAAGGTATTGTTCCTTTCTTGGACACTAAGCAGGACTCTTGTCTAGTGAATCTAGCCCGAGTGAAAGATGGAAACTCATAGTTTAATAGATAAGACTTCAAATTGTGATCACCAAACCTAATCATTTGTTCCATTACTGCACTGTCTGGCATTAGTACAATTGGCCCTACCTCAGACTGAACAGCAAACAAAGAAAACACAAAAAATTTGATATCATGACATCTTTAGTGGTGTTATTGACGTGTTATTAAACTTTTTAACAAGTCATACCACCATTACATAATCTTGATTAATATGACTTGGTAACATAATATTTAATGGAGCGCATTGTCTTAAAAGTCTTTTCATCTTGTAGGCTCTATCACAGTGGCTGATGACTTGGATTTTGAGGTGTGTAAGGACTTCTACCTGACAGTGGAGGCCTGGGACAATGGGAATCCCCCTCTGAGTACGGCGATCATGGTCACCATTGAACTTATGGACGTCAATGACAACACTCCCACTTTCAGCCAGGACATATATAATGTTCTAGTCAGCGAGGACGCAGCTGTTGGACACACTGTCACCAGGGTAACTATGTCATAGAACAGTTAGCATCAATCAGGCAAATGATTATCACCACTTTCAGATGACACTCATGGGCTTTGTGTTTTCAAAATGAACCGTTTAACAAGTGTGACAATGGGCAATATCTATGGAACTGAACTGGAGCTAAGGATTTAAGATTCACAGTTCCCAAACAAATAAAAAATACTACTGATGGTTTTCAGATTATAGACTATGATGATGTCATACACTCAGATGGGGGGAAGAGACAGTTTTCCCTATCGATTAGATGGGATTCTCTAACATATTTAAAAGGTAAATTCACAAATGTTTAACCTGATCATTCCTATTACTGATTAGACTCTGTAACTCTTCTCCTTCATATGTAGGTTCATATTTCTGTGTACCCCTTAAATCTTAATAATTCTGGACACAAAAACATGCCCAGTGAACAAAATCTTGATCTTGATTCTGGTTAATTGCAAAACCAGTGATAAGCTGGTGGTTGTAGTGTTATACATATCTGTGCACTGTTCTTTCAGCCATTTATCTACTACTACAACCTTATCCATAGCCTTACTTACTTCTGTCTTGTGTTTGTCAGTTATTGGCCGAGGATCTGGACAGTCAGGTTAACGGCCGAATCACCTACTCCATAATGAAAGGAGACCGGAGTAACCACTTCTGGATTGACCCCGTGACAGGCCTGCTCAAAGTCAATAAGCGCCTTGACAGAGAACTAGTAAGGATAAATCTCTGTCTGCACTATCTCATAAACAATCAATAGCAATTTACTGGTTCATCAGCTCGAGCATAAAAGCTCAAGGTCACATGCCCGGCACACTCCCTTATTATGCAACTGTGACAAAATTGCTTACAGTACATGGCTTAGTGGATAAATTACTGTGGTGGATCTGTCTGTGTCTCTAGGTATCCAGGTACACTCTGTCTGTGCAGGCCTTTGACAGTGGCTCCCCTGCCATGTCATCCACTGTCACAATTAATATTGATATTGCGGATGTAAATGACAATGCTCCGGTTTTCACGCCTCCCAACTCAACAGCTATTATACAGGTAATGTTCCACACAGTTAACCACTCTAAAAATTCATATATACCTTTTATAGCACTTTTTAAATTGAATCAGGTGTTACAATGGTAAGAATAATGCAAATATGTAGATGAAAATACATAATTTGTTGGTGTTCCTTGTCAAGAAGTATAAAATTGTGTTCATCTAGAGAAAAAGTAAACAATACAATACCAGATTATTATGGGGATACTCCTAAAACTTTTGACAGATAGATTTAGGTATATATGTTTTTTCCCCTCAATTTACTTAGGGTTAGGGTTAGCTTAGGGTTAGGTTTAGCTTACCACAAATTCTACTGAAAGGGCCTTTAGACAGCCAAACGAGTATGGTGAGATAAATTAGATTTATTAGTAATGCCTTGTTGCCATTTGGAAAAGACATGGATCAGCAGTGGAAAAAACTATGTATTTGCAGTTCCAAAAGAAGTAGTTGTTCACAACATAGAATTTTAAATAACAACAGAGATTTCACCCTAAATAAGCTGCAACAAATGACAGAAATTGAGCCGTAGAAAATGACTCCTCAATTGCAAAAATTGCTCAGTCTGTAGTGGGTTGACTCAGTTGAATAATGAACAGTTTGGTGAAGCAAACAAAAACAGATCAGAGTGTGGTGGGACCAATAGTAGTTTAAACTCTATGTTTGTATATTATAATTGGTTTTGACAGCTTTGATAAATATTACATAAAAGGCTATTGAATCCGGAAAGAGTCACAAGTCAATATGGTCCTTGTCCCAGGATTCACCAAGAGTCAATTGATGAGCTCCTGGAAATACCGGAAGAGGACAAACATGAACATAATAGTTACTGCATATTTTAGGTCTTTGGTCAACAATGTCATAATGTATACAGTAAAATATATTTAGTTTGTCTTAAACAAATCTTAAGAAACTATCCAAGTCAAAATTATAATTTCTCTTTCTTTCCAGTTAAACCAGCCTGCAGGCTCTGTTCTCCAGAGATTGTCCATCACTGATAAAGACTCCCCCAGGAACGGTCCTCCTTTTGAGTTCCGCATAGTTTCTGGGAATGAGGGCAACTTCTTCACATTAGACCAGAGTGGCACCCTGAGGTCCAGCCGTGTGTTTGGACCTGATTCACCAAGAGAATTCACCTTAGAAATACAGGTTAGGCTGAAACATTATCCTGAAAAGCCCCTGTGGAGCATTTGGATTTGTTGGTTTAGTTAAGTCTTATTCATTACTGCCTCAGTCTTTTTAATGTAAGCTATTAAATCGTTTATGGGAGTCGCAAGGTTAAATATGTGGTCTTGTATAATTCTATTGGACTATTGGAATTAGAGGGAAAGCTTGTCCTTTTGGTTTTATCTCTCTTTGCCTGGGGACACAACACTTTTATTAGGACTGTCTTTTTGTGTGTTTATCTCTCAGTACCAACTAAGCACCAGTCTTCAGCAATAGTATTGGATCTTTTAAAGGAGTTAGAGGTGGTTAGTGTAGATCTCTTTGTACTATGATTTGTCGCTGAAAGCAGATGTGAGGTTTTGGTGAAAAATGAAAAGATCTGCAATTATGGTAAGAAGCCGTGAAAAAAAACATGTGATTCAAAAGAAATAGCAAATTCAGTTACTATTGTGTTCTTAGATATGTAAGATAGTTTTATGGATTTTTGCCTGAGGACATCAGATATATTAGGATAGACTTGTTATTTGTTTGTTTGTCTCTTTGTTTAAACTTTATTGGAAGTTTTCAAGGAATTAGAGATATACAGTATCTTGGGGATTATGCTATATACTGGGATTCATTGTGTCTGTGTACAGATATGATATGATAATGTCACAGTCAGGTGAAATAAATATAATAGTGGCTGAATAGTGGTCAACAGTGGGACAACATTTACCATGTTAAGGGATGTCATGATTGTTCAGTTCGATAACCATGAGTGCACAATAAAATAAGAAGAAACAGAATAATACAATTTGATGTATATACAAAAAAGTTAAGATTTATTTATTTTTTTAATCTGGGTGTTTATGTCTATTAATTTAAAGTTATCTTTCAGAGTGATTGATTTTATAAAGCTAGTCACATACTTAAGGATTTTTTTTTAATCTATTCTACCTGTTACACAATGGAAATGAAAGGAACTTGTGAATCGTCATTAAATTGTTACTCTACTCACAATAATTCTAACACTAAAATTTGATATTGTGGCATCTCTAACTAAGTTCAATTTGTGCAAGTGAAAAACTAATTTCTTTTCCTTTTTAGGCAAGTGATTCTGGTAAGCCTCGCCTCACTACCTCATCCTGGCTCTTCTTAAGGGTGATTGGAAACAGCCAGTACAAGCCTGCTGTCTCACCCCTCGAAATCTTTATTGTGATGGTGACTGATACGTTTCAAGGTGGTCCCATTGGTCAAATCTACGCCACCGACCGAGACCCCAATGATGTCCTCTCCTTTACTCAGAAATCTCCCCCCAAAAGCATGTTCAGCATAAACAGACAAGATGGCAGCATCATAGCACTACCGGGACTGGAGCCAGGCAGGTACGTGTGTCAGAAAATTGGGTCACACAAGATAAATATGCTTTGGAAACCTCTGCAATATTTTCAGGTTTCTTATGAGTGCAATATTATTAACATTCTTGCTAAATTTTTGTCAGCTGCTGAAAATAATACATCAACATTTTTATGCTAACTCAATATTGAAATCACACTTGCATTGCCCATTTGCAGTGTTAATTTAAATGTCACAAAATATGCAAAATACAATAATATCAGTAACTTGAGTAACTTTTCACTCTTCTTGACCTTACTTTGTTATTTGTGAAAAGTGTCATGATTATATTTATAAATTAAATTTTTACTTCATGTTTTTATTTATATTATACTATATTTTTTTCACTGTTTATGTCATTTATAAGATTTCACATGTTATTCTTACATGGCAGTATAGACACAATAGTCATGTTTTCTTTTTCCATTTTCCTCCTCCCCTTTTTATAACTTTGCATATTTGTGTTAAATATAATATAATAATATCTTCTTCTAAGCATGTCTCATCCCATTGGCAGGTACCAGATGAATGCCACAGTGAGTGACGGTCGGTTTGCGGTGATCGCTGATGTGTCTGTGCTGGTGGAGCAGATCACAGATGTATTGTTACGCAGTGCATTGACCCTGCGTTTTAGGACTCTCTCCCCGGAGGACTTACTCGGCCGCTACCTGGGCCAGATAAAACTAATGTTGCGTGGGATAGCCGGCTGGAAGTGGTCGCCGGGACAACCAGACCCTCTACACATCCTGGGTATACAGCCCGTGATCGGGACGCCCGATGTGGATCTGCTTTGGTCCTTGGAGAGACCAGAAACAGCAGGTAGTAAATAACAAATAGATTACTAATTAAGTGATATTTGGGGGTAGTTTTAGTACAATTTAGGACTGCAAATGTATTTATTTTTGTGTTATTACTTGTTATATTGTCTGCTCTAAAGTACTATTAAGTATTTTCTTAATCAGCACAACAATGTAGTGTTTGTTTTTGCTTCTCATAAAACTCTTCATAATTTGGTGTGTGTTTACATGCCCTAAAGGATTGGATTTTTAGAGAAACTGTTGTATTTCGAAGACAAACACTGAATTGTAAAATAACATTTTCAATTTTTTTTGCCACATTTGTTTGCTGTTTTTTGCATAATTTTCCTTATCAAAAGCTGCACAGGTGTGAATAATCAGAAAAAAAAAAAAAAACAGATACTCAGATTGGATGTAACCTGCTGCATGATATTTCAATAATCTGATAACACCAGAAACCAGATAATGATTGGATTTTTGCAAAAAAACATAGCTATTGTATAATTGATGAATGCTGAAGGTAAACTGATCCGATCCAAAGTTGGAACCAGGGAATGCATATGTTTTTTAGAACATAAATGATAATCAGTAGCTATGATGTAAAATGTATCCATGAGTAGTTTCCTTTGTTCATAATTTTGAGTATAAATGTGTACATTTTGTTTCCATTTTTTTACAGGTAGTGGATTTTTCTCACAACCGGAAATGTCCTTAAAGCTGGAGGAAGCGTCTTTAAAGGGGCAGATCCGGGGAGTGCTTTCCGGCGCTGTGCTTCTGAGCAGTGCATGTTCTGGAGATCTGGACTGTAGAGACCAAGTGTGCGAGCCAAGTCTAGTGATGGATGGGACATCTCTGGTGACCTACAGCACAGAGAGGGTCAGCCTGGTGGCACCGAGATTTGGACGAACCGAGACATGCACCTGTCCTGGTAGATTTTTTACATAATAATCACAGTGGACTAGAGCTCTTAAGAATAATTTGGTAAAGTAATGATTGTAGTGTTTCAAGTATCTGCAAGAACTCAAATAAAACATGTGATTTGTGAGAATTATGGAGGAAAAATAAGTTTATTCTGATCAGTCCATACTTTGAAAAAAAATTAAATGTTTATGTCACATTAAGTTAGGGTTTATGGAATGGTAATAAAAAGTTTGGTCCTGATGTTAATAATCTTGGTAATAATAAGTACACAATTATGAATATCACTCAGTTTAAACTTAATATGAATGAGTGCATACATATTTTGAATGTCACATCACAATGTCAAATAGCATATTTAACATTTCTGTCAGTGTGTCAAGTTATTTTCTTTTTAATATGTCTCCACATAGTCTTTTTAATTTGTATGCTGTGGTACAGTCCAGGTTGTTATTAGCTAATGCAAGGGCCACAATGTCTGATATTGTTAGAAACCACTACATAGTACATTCTGTAGTAGTAGTAACACACAATTTCATTTATAGGAGGGATGTGTCGCGCTCCACTAGAGCTCTGTGAAGGCCAGTCCTGTCCTTCAGACATGCAGTGTGTACGCCCTGGTCCTACAGCGCCCTCTGTCTGCCAGTGTCTGCCTGAAAGACTGGACAATTGTGCAGGTACAATCACATACTGTAAGACACTTACTCTCTACTGATTTGGAAATGTCAGATTCATAAACTGATATTACCACAGGTCAAACCTCCTTGAGTTTTTCTGGAAACAGTTACATCAAGTACAGGGTAACAGAGAGTGGTCAGAGTGGAGAAATGAAACTTGGTCTGAGGATCCGAACCCTTCAGAGACGAGGGGTGATCATGTTCACGCGTGTTAATCCCTGTACAATGCTTAAGGTAACATTATCTTTATCCTACTATTACAGTGAATTTACTCTATTGTTTAAAGTAAACATGTTATGTAAAACTTCTCTAAACCATATTGAATTGTTTCTCCTCCTCATTTACTCACTTAAATTTTATTTGGAGTGATTCATGCATGTTTGAGTAATCTTTATTCTCCTGCATTCAAGACCCCATTACTCCATTTGTAGCAGCATACCATAAAGGAGAAAAACAGTTCAACCGTTTTCAGCAAACCTCTTTCTTTGCCATTTTACATCAATATTATGATTTAAAATGTCGCAGATGTCATAGATTTAAACTATATATCAGACAAAAGCTTAATATGTCTTCTTGAATTTATTTTAAATAGCTAACCTTTTCTTCTGGTTTGACAGATTGAGGGGGGTCGTCTGTGGTTTCAGTTGGATTGTGACAACACTCTAGGCATTATGGGTATTTCTGGGAGGCCCATAAACGACGGTCTATGGCATGCTGTATCGCTGGAGTTGACCAGGAACTACACGCTCTTGTCTTTAGATGACAGCTACGTGGAGCGGCGCAGAGCAGCCAGAGCCCCTGTCCGCCTCTGGCCTTTGGCTCCAGACTCCTCCTTCTTCTTTGGGGCCCAAGTAAGAGCCCCAAATGGTTTAGGAGAAAGGCCGAGTCCTGGACCGAGCAGGGGCCAGGCTGAACTTGGTGATCGTGTGACAAGGGCTCCACCTAGAGCCCAGGATGGTTTTCAGGGCTGCCTTGGTTCACTGACGCTGAACGGAAACGAGCTGCCTCTACAGAACAAGAGGAGCAGATACGCAGAGATAGCCGGTGTGAGCGAGGTCAAACTGGGATGTGTGCTGTACCCGGACCCCTGTGTCAGTCAGCCCTGTCTCAACGGCGCCATCTGCAGCAGCCTGCCCTCTGGAGGTCTGTAATATAATCAACTGGTCTGTCATCTCTCCATATGGCTGTGAAAATTATACTTATTTAATTTTTTTTTTTGTTTACTTTTATGTTCAAGTGATAATGCTAATTAACTGCACAAAAATATGGAGAAAAACACATGGATTGTTTTTTTTTCTAAATTATGTATATTATTTGATACAAAAGGAGTATGCTTGTTAATAAAATGAATCACATTTTACAGGTAGCGGTTCATATACTTTGTCAAAGTCATATTTAAACAACTATGATATGAATTCAAATTAAACATATTAGGATAAAATATACCTTTTGAGTAAATGTATGAAAGCTATATGTAGCTTAAAGATTTTCTTTTTAGTGAGATGGTCTATAAAATGCATTAATTTATTAAAGTTAGAGACTATTCTCGAACTGAAAAAAACTGAGACTGACATTTAAAAATAGTTATTTTAGAGAGATGTTTTTATTGTGAGTAATCAATTACAAAACAAAATTTGAAAGCATCTTTTAGTGTCATGGTATTTCCCTTTTTCTCCCCCGAACAGGCTTCAGGTGCAGTTGCAATGCAGGCTTCACTGGGGGGCGCTGTGAAGTTGAGCTAACATCCTGCATGCCAAACCCGTGCCAGAATGATGGTGACTGTAAGCCTATGGGCAATGCATTCTTCTGCTCCTGTCCCAAAGGACTGGGGGGTCTTACGTAAGTAAAAATGCCCCTGCAAGTACACACATAAACTGATGCTTTAGGCTTTAATTACTCACTGTGGAAATCATAATGGACAGAAGACACACATTTCTCCTGTCACTTATGGGAACATGACTCAATAAAACCCATTCATCAACAGAAATTAGCACTCTACCTCAGCTGTGTTGCTTTCTGTGTTCCTTTATGAATTCATTTAGTGGTTCTTATTTAATTCCAAATCATTTTTTGTGGAAAACCTATAATTATTATTTCACTGCTGTTCTAATTACACATCTAATTGTCTGTGTAACCCCCATGCTGTATTGAGTAGTTAACACCAAACTCCAGAAGGGGGCAGTTTTTTCGTACATTTTAAATTGTGTGGTTATAATTTTCAAAGCAAAAAGATATATTGAAATCACATATTTTAAATTTACAAACTTTTTCAAAACAACTACAACTACAGGCTTCTCAGATACAGATACAGCCACTGAATTTGAAAATGAAGGTACATTTTGTAAAGCACATTTATAAGTTTGTTTGTAGCTGTAAATTTTCAAATATTTGATTAACTAAATTATTTTATTTTGTCTAAAATGTAGAAGATATTTTTTTGGCAAGTGTGCAAATAGTGCATACTAGATTAATGTGACTTAAGCTTTCCAAGTGCATATGTGTTCAACAGTGGAAGTGACAGTCTTCAACATTGTGCTACCCTTGAGGAAAATAAGTTTGAAAATGAATCTATTAGTATGTAAAATATTTATGAGAATCCCAGATAACGTAGGACAACTGTAATCTTCAGTCAGTCAAGTGCTCATACATAATGGCACTACAAGAATGCCGCTGTAGGGGCTTTTCGCCTCTTATAGCACATTTACCCCCCTTTGGAACTCTATCTGTAAACGATAATTGAAAAGCAACACATGCATTTTGCATATCCCAGCAGGACGACATACATGAAATGATGAGATATGGATACTCGTGATGTGAAAGTGTAATCCTGCCACTGAACAGAAGCCCATATCTTAAGAGCAAAACAGCTAAGGTTGTTCTAGCAAGGACTCAAAAAGTGCACTCAAGCAGGCCTAAGAAGAACAATTACTGAAAGACAAGTGTTATATCATTATTATTTTTATCATTATTATAATTTTTACTTGTTGTCTCAAACCTACAAGTTACAGTAGTTCGAAAATACCAGTCATATTGGAACATTTTAATCATGTACAAATTGATTAATAATCCTGCAGATATTAGACCCAGATACTAACCAGTACTAAAAGGAATTGAAAGTGAAACTAGTTTATTTATATATTTTTTTTTAATAAACAGGACAAAATTGGAAATAGTTAGAGTCATGACAGAGTTTATTTGAGACTACAGTGTAATATTAAAGACTACTATGATGATTCTTGTTGTGGACTGCATACTATTATGTAAATAAAATTTGCTTATTTTTATCATTTTGGTATCAAATTGGTATCAAGCATAGAACCTTTTCTTTAGCAAGAAATCAAGTTTAAAATGTTGTACCGTGACAACACTAGAATGCATAATTTATTAAAGTCTACCTACTGCAATAAATCTCACTGATTACTACATCGTAAAGTGTAGCAAAAAGAATGGACGCATCCTTGAATATAATACCTTCATTTAGCCTTTGTAATGATTGTTGATGGTGCCTCCCATGCCATTTATCTGTCTGTACTTGTCTGCAGATGTGATGAAGATGTTGATGAATGTGACGAAGAGGAGTGCAGTGATAATGGGGAGTGCATCAACACATTTGGGTCGTTTTTCTGTAACTGCACAGAGGGCTTCGAGGGCGAGCTCTGCAGTGATGAGGCACCTGGAGAGCTGCTAGACGACACACAGGTACAAGATACAGGCCCTATATTACGTTATTTTCTGATGTTGTAATGTTGTTTCCTCATTACAATACCTGGAGTTATGTTTTGTTTCATTCATACATGTTTAACACACAGACCCTGCATATTTAGGCTGAGTTGTTCTATCAAAAGGAAATCACTCTGTTCCACCTTGTGATGTCATGTGGTAATACAGGAAGTGCACCACTGTGTTTTTAAACTTCATATACCTTCACCAGAATCATTTATATGATTTCACCCCTGGAATTGCCTATCTCTACTAAACCAAAGGTAAAAGATTTAGCTGTCAACTTGAAAACTACTGCTTCATGACATCACAAGCTGGAACAGAACATTTTGTAGGTTTAGAGATGCAGACAGACTAATAATAAAGGGTTACTCAAATGTCTGTGAATGGAACAAAACACATCTCCAGGTATGTTTTGGAGGAGGTAATGAAATTATAACATAGCTTAAAGCCCATAAGAATTAATTTTGTGTAATACAGGACCTTTTTAAAATTGCAATACATGACTAAAATGACTAAAACCTCAAAAAACAAGGGGAAAGAAACAAAATTAAATAGCTGTTTTATAGAATATGCAAGCAATTAAAGTGATTTTAGTTGATAATACTCCATTTTATGATAATTATAAATGTAATAAAATGCTTTGTTTACACATAATTTTATGTTTAATGCATCATGCCTGTGGTTAACAATGTAAAATGAATCAATGAACGAAACAGAATTTGCTACTTAAAATGGCTTTTGTTTCTTTGCTTGCTTATTTTTGCATTATGTTTCGTAATTGAACTTGGTACAGTGGATCAGGCTGAGAAGAATTCTGAGTGAGCAGCGGCCTCCAAAACGTTTGCACAAACTTGTCTTTGTCTTTGCAGTGACTCAATGAAACAGGACATCTTTTTTTTTTTTTTTTTTTTTTGAAGATTTTATGCTGTTATTGACTTAATAATCACATTTACAACAGTGAGACTGCAAAGACAAGATGGACCTTGTTTTCTACTTGTGTAAATATAAAACTTTGATGGAAAAGTATTTCTCTGTGTAGATATTATTGTTTTCCCTGCAGTATCTCCAAAAAGAAAAGCAGGAGACAGACACTTTACCAAGTTGTATAATGCATCGTGAATTTTTTTGTTGTTGTTTAAACCTTTTGTTGCTCTGTCTTAATTAGTTGGAAATACTAATAAATTAAAAGTAACAAACTATTAAACTAATAAAGGTAATTTTATGATGTTAAAGGTTATGACTGTCCAAATAAACATCCTGTACATTAAGCTCTGTAGATTATGATTGCTTTTAGAGATAATTTGACCTTGGAGACTGAAAAATTTTAATGTTCTAGTTCATATTGTACATATTTGAATTTGCTTTAATTTGTGTCTATAGAGGCCTTTGATAATTAGAGACCATCAGTGTGTCCATGTGTTACCCATAGATTCCTTGAGAATGGGGAGAAATCAATACAAAGCGGTAGGAATTGATTGCTCTTCTTTGCTGATTGCGAGTCTTTTATACAATTTGTAGAATCAGTTTTTAGACAAATTGTTCCTTAATAGCACCATACTGGCCCTTGGCCCAAGATCCGCTTGGGGGGTGATGACACATAGATAAGCCATGCAATCAGATTTGTTTATTTCAGTGTTTCAAAAACAAAGTGTGAAATGAAGGAGCATCCATCATTTAGAACAAAATCACCGGTTTGGTTCCTCGCTCATTGATTCTGCAGAAATCCATCATTGTTTTCAGTTCCATCTTTTTTTTGCTTTGTTTTTTTGTTTTTTTTCCCACTTAAGCAGCCATATTGGCTATATGGCTAATCCATCTGTCTGTCAATAGTTGAGCTTGGGAAAATTTGCGACTGTATTGGAGAAGTGAGTATTCTGTGTCCCAGGCAAACATACTGTAGACAACTAGAGTAGAGTGTACAGTACTGTTGAAAAGTCTTAGACTAGATGATTTTATGCTCTCCTCTTATTGACTTTTTCTTTATGATAAACACTTCTTCTGCCTAAAAAAACTGTACTTTCTTTTTGTATGTTTTTCAGGCTGAGCCCCTGTCATACGTGGGACCAGGAGAGATCATTGGCATCGGGGTGCTTGCTTTTGTCATCCTCCTTCTCCTCGTTCTTTTCGTCATATTTCGCAAAAAAATCAAATTTAGGAAAGACTCCGACTCTGGACCATCTCAGACCATTTTGGGGGTCTCTGCCATCTCCACAGAAACGAGCTACATGCTGCACAAGACTGGGATGGGTGCAGAGGGCATTGAGTTTAAAGCAGTGCGGGTGTCTGGCTCTCCAGGGACAAGCACATATGGAGAGGTGGGAGGAAGCACAGGTGGTCCTCCTCAGGTCATGGTGCGCCCCAATGCCCACTCACCCCTGCCTGGAGCTCTGGGCGGCTCCACACTGAGAGGAGATAAGACTGCACCAAGTGACGGCAGTCAGGTAAGCAAAGAGAATGACTTCCATCATGACCATTTTCAAACTTTTAGGAGTGTTATTTTTTTATTCTGACAGAATAATCCAAATGTTTCAGCATTCACCACACAGGGCATTACAAACACCTTTCCTGTATAAATTATGAAATCCCAAATAAAGTGTTTTTATTTTAGTGAAAAGCTTAGGGCTATTCATTATGCAAATAGGACTCATTTGGGGGTAAAATTTAATATTTATAATAATTTGACAATCTTGATAGATAGATAAATAGATAGAAAAATAGTTTATTTATCTCAAAGGAAATCAATTTTGATTTGGCTTTCTTTATTTTTATTTTGAAGTTCTCACAGCTGCCAAATTATTAAATGCAAGAGGCTAAGAATAAAAAATTAACAAAAATTTTTAGCAAAAGCTATTAAACCTAGACTAAAACTGAAACAATGTTATATACTAAAATGAAGTACTATGTACTACTAAGTTTTCTGGTCAAGGTTTCGTCACCTGCTTGTCTCGTTTCTATTTCCATGGAGATAAGCAGATAGCGTCACCAGGTCAGATCTAAGTTGCATACACTCCCATCAGAAAATGCAGCATAGTGCACCTTTAGGTGTGCATGATGATTTAATTGTGATCCAGATTATAATAAAAATGTAATGTGATATTTTTGCGCATATAATAATTGTTTGTCTTGCCCTCTTGTAGATGAGCAGTTTCCTGTCCGACATGTCTAACATCAGCAGAGGGGCAAACAGACGAGGGATCGCTGTATGCAGTGTTGCTCCAAACCTGCCACTGTCTTCCCCGCGGCGCCCGGAGCTCAGCCCAGTGCATAAGGTGTCCTGGGAAGTACCACCTCCCAGACAGGACAGTCCACAGTCTGACCCTCCCAACAGAGACCAGAGAGAAGAGCAGTGGAGCCACAGAGCGTTTGAGATGGAGCGAACACACAGGGAGACCAGTCCACGGGGTAAGACCGGTAGAGATTTAACAAATACTGAGAATGAAAAGGCATTATGCCAAAAAAGTAAAAATATGAGGTGCAAATGGATGTGAATTCCCATAAAGTTATTTTTTATGAGCCATTACTTTTTAATGACTGAACCTAGTGACTCCAATTCTGACAATTCTGACATGAGGTGGGCAATATATCATCAACAAGATAATAACAAAAGTTGTTTACTCAAAAACAAGAAGCAAGGTTATATTCCTGCACTTTTGTGTTTAATTACACTGTGTAACCACTTTTTTGTGGTACTTCAACATCAACTACATTTGCCAGCACTGAGTAGTTTGCTCAGGAGGCACAGTCTTAAACAAATACTTTACACTGCAGTGATGGAATCAATAGACACGTAATACATGTTTACAATTCCACTTTATTGGACAATAAAATGCAATAAAGTAAAAGAAGTAAAACTGGAATTGAAATGTCATTACCACAAAAATCTACTTCTAAAACAGTAATTTGAGTATTTTTAATCAATTTCTCCCACTTCTGATCACATGCATCAACATGAGCACACTCTGACACGTGCACACTCACAAACTTCAGATCATAAAAGGCACTGAGTACAGAGGCTGAGCAGTCATTGTGCAGCACCACACCATCTCACTTCACTTTGAGCCTATTTCACACTGATCTGTGCTTTTTGATCACACACATCAAAGAAAATGGCCTAAAGTAATAAGCAAAGTAATATTTTTATATTCATTTTCATTTTAAATTTCTCTACTTATCTCTTCGAAAGTACAAAATTTTGCTATGTGGTGACAAAATTGGCAATTATGTCCGTGTGGTTTTCCAGAGTTTTGAGACATGCTGTGTGCACTTCTGTTTCAATGGTCAGGGTAATCAGCCAGCACTGATGTCCTGTGTTCTTACCTGTCCTACTTTTTCCTTCCTCCCAAAGAAGTTATAAAATCAAAGTAATTCAAACTTGTCCACTTGAAGACATTTTTCGACTGCTCTTCCCCCACAACAAATAGACAGAGTGTTTGAAAATAACTTTTATAAAGCTCACACGGCCTGTTAAAGGGCTGCACTGCAAACGGGCACAAGGTGATGCAGCGTTTTTCCTAGTTTTGTCTACTTGTCCTTTCACTATTGATTTGCAACATGATGAAACCTTTGTCTCAGAGTTATTTATCCTCTTACAATGAGTACAATATTAAGTTCTTCAGATTTCAAAATACAATTGTGCAAGAAGAGAAATTGCTGGTCCCAAGCCATTGAAATTTTTTTGTTACTTAAAGACAGTTTATTTCAGTTCATTATGCTCTTTGTTATTAAAATCTATTCTCATAATGTTATTTTTAAGATACTGTGTTGAGGCTTTTTCTCTTTTGAAACAAGAAAGTTGTTTGTTTTTTTTAAATCTAAGGTATGGAAAATAAAATATTGCATAAAATTCAACAATCAATTCAATCAACATTATTTTAGTAGTCAACTCGTCAGTGTTTTTTTATTAGTCAAATGATTAGTTCTATTGTTCCTTGGAGATTTTTATAATCTGTTTCAACCAGTTAAATATGACAAATAAAGGCTTTTTGATTTACAATATTTACAAATTAAAAAAACAGAATATGTGTTCTTTTTGTGTCATTTGGTTTAACAATGGATCGACTCCACTTTACAATTAACAATAGTGCAAATAGTCAGCAATTACTACATAACTTGCTTTTTACACATATTTATTGCTTGAATTATTATTTGTATGAGCATGAGACTAGGTCAAGTGTCCTGTCATTATCACATGAATTAATGAATACTGATTGACCAGATGTCTGAATCAGTGAAAAGCACTTATTTAGCCCAGACATAAACAAGTGTATAATTAATAAGAGAGATGCTAACAGACTTGGATACACATTGGTTGTTATTCTGTCACTACCTGGTGCAGCATGAATAAATCAAATGTTCTGAATAATTAAATGTGTGGAAAACACTTCATAAGCAAATCGGGATGGCTTATCATCTTTCTGTTTTTTGGGAACAGTGCAGCAGAAAATAGGTTAACTCCAAATTAGACTGGCTGTATTCATTCTGTGGATTAAAGATTGTTATTGGATAGTTAGATGTAACAAAAAGTATCATACTGATTGATCCATGCTGGAGTTCAGTTAGCAGTTCACATTGCTACTAGAATTGCCCCCTGCTTGTCTCTGTGGCGATGTTATTGATTTCCTTAAAATGTCCCACAATATGGCATTTACATTATCTATCTTGCATTTCTTCAATTACATATGTTTATTGCTAAGAAATGCTTTGAAATATACAAATACTCCTTTCCATAAATCTTGACTGTGACATTAGCTTAATGCCATTCTTTGGAACATTACAAGCAAAGTGTTGCAATTTCCATGGAGACCACCAGGCCTCCAACATAAAGGTTACATAGTTAACTTTTAAAGAGATTCTTCTTTAGTTTGTTTGACTCTGTGTTGCCAAGGCACCACCAGTTATCTTTGGACCTTGTTGTGTGTCAGAAATGGCCAAGGAAACAAATAGTATGTTTTTGGTGTTGATTTGGATCCTGGTGTGATTCAGGATTTTGTTTCAAAAATACTTCTCCATGGCGAGATGTGGTCAGATGCTGGCACAATTTAATAATTTACCAGTTACAAATTTGGGAAGAAACACATCATTTCCCATAATGCCTTGCCCCCTGCATGCTTTTAGTTCATCAACACAACATCTTAAATATAGTTTTATAATGTAATTACTTAATATGATTTGGAATAAGAGTCTAGTAATGTTCCAATTGCATTTTCTGTGACTCCCTTTTAAATAGCTGGCATAGATCTCTTTTTCCTTAAAATAAAAAAGAAAAAAAATCAATTATACTGTCTACTGAATTGTAATCACTGGACTACCTGCATTTACCTTTGCTGCTGCAGCTCTCTCCTCGTCACCATCTGAGAGCCCAGTGATGGTTTGAACAAAGTTTCAGCATGGAAAAACATATAGCTAAGCTTAGGTTGTATCAAAAGTGAGTATTTCTTTACTTGTACCTGTAAGACTTGTCATATGTTGACAAGGAGGATCCAAGAAAGAAGATTTTCAACAGCTCGTACAACTCTGCAAAAAGTAGAGCGGATTTACAAAAAAAAAAAAAAACTTGGGGGATGAGACTGTGGTTTGGCTCAGTGCTCCGTGGGATTAGAGCGAAAATGTTGTTAAATGTTAGCACCTAAAGGAAATTAAGAAAGCAAAACAAAAATGACATGGCAAAAACAACTATTTTTGTGGATATGTTGTGTTATGGTGTGGACATGCTGTATTAGTCCCAGCCTGGCTCATTCACAGTGATTGATGGCAGTGTCTTGCTTGGTGCATTCCCATTGGTTGGTTGGACTTGTTACGCAGCCATTGGACCGTGGCCTTCTCGCAGCTCAAGTCTGGAAAGCTGATGTTCACAAACACTTGGCTCTCACTGAAACTGTATTCGTTTTGTCAAATTAATAACCCTATACCAGAGTTCACCCAAACAAGACAATTTCATTTTGACCAAACACAGTAGCTTTCTTTTGACTTTGTATTATTGCTTTCTATTATAGTGACTGAACTCCTATAGTTTCATGAAAAGTAGAAGAATTATTCCAGTATATTATCTAATACATACTCAAACTGTTTTTTTATAATGATCTTCAGATCTATCTATCTATGTATCTATCTAAATAAATGCTAATCTATTAGAAAGCCTTGAAGTCAATAGAAAGACTGGGAATTGTAGTAGTAATAGTAGTAACAGTTGTTTTAGTAGTAAGAAAAGTAATTGTGTGCACTTTTACCTAAAATGGTTACCTATACCAGTAATTATTTTTGTATAGCTGATTTGCTACATTCCCATGTTTATTTTTAGTTTTTTTTACTATTTTATCTTTAACTTGAGTGGATATGTTGCAATCCTAAATTAGCTTGAATACAAGAAGGCAGCTCCCTCTCCATGCAAAGCAGACAAGCCAGGAGCACCTGAGAGCAAGAGACAGATGGGGAAAAGAAGAACAGGCAGTGACCGCTCCACAACAGCAGAATCTTAAGAAGGAGAAAAAAAATTGATTAGATTGTTTATGGGAGAGTGATTTACAGTGACAGGACTGTTGACTTTCCCCGTGGTTCAAGGAGAAGACAGAGAGTCATGAGGTTAATTAATGACCATTTAATTTGGCAGCACCTTCTAAATTTATAATGGATCCTTAAAAATAAAACAAGTATGTTTCCAAACAGTGATCTGTTGAGGTATTGGTGTTGGCTGAGCATCAGTCGCCTGAAGAAGTGTTTTATACCATTTCTAAAAATACTGTATTTGATTTTTACGATGCTTTTTGGACACTCAAATATGCTTCATGTTACATTATTCATTCCAATCTCAGTCTCCACACCTGTAGATGAGAGGATATTTCTGTGGCATCTCAAAACATGACTCATTACAAATGCCTGGCAGAAGCTTTTAATATAGTTCTTTTAGTCACATAATTTTACCTTTTCTGTAATTGTGTGCTACTGCTGCTGTACACTGTTGATTATATATTATTCTGCTCTCGCTGCTTTATTATTATCTGGTCTACCCGTGTTGTTTTTAAGTGGACAATATTGCATTTACAATTGATGTACACTGTCAGTATCAAGTAAATAAATAAATAAACAGCAGCCGTGTGGTCTGACAGAAGTGAGGCTGACATTCTGTGCCATCAGCCCCTTCGTCCATCACCACTCACATGTGCACGCTACATTCATAGATAAGAAAGACTGGTGAATTGCCTTACCCTTACACTTCTTCAACGATTTTACTTCAAAGCTATCAGTAGAAGTACAGGTCCTAAACCAATTAAAAACTATCAGTTGAACTGCTTAAGTTAGTCACAAGAAACAAATTAATTAAAATAAAAAGTTGCTGCCAGACAGACTTTAACAACTTTTTCCTACTTTTCCACCTTCCACCCCATAGGCCCAAACTACCTTAATCACATTAGCAGACCTGCCAATCCTTTTTATAAGCTTTTTCAGTCATCAGATAAGACTTTGTTTATGCCCTATCAATAAACTTTGCTTGAGTAATTCCTTTAAGAGCTATGTTTTGCAGTTGTTTACATAACATTTAAACTTATTTGGAGCATTTCAGTTAACTCTGGTCCACTTTAGCTCAGCACTTTTCCTCTCAGTTTCACATCTGCCCATATGAACTGCATAATGAGTGAGTTTGCATTGGGCCCTGTGTGACCACTGCAGCTGCTGAATCCTGCACAGCTTTAAATGGATTACAGCATAAATCTGTACGGCAAAACTTTAACAGAAGTTGATTGGGTATGAGCATATTGCTGCGTATAGTTTCAGTTTACATTAATAAAAAGTTTCATTATATTTTTAGCTTCCCACCACCTGGTATGGAGTGAATTAATGATACATAAAATTGTAAAGGGACTATATAAAACTAATACATTATTCTTATTTGTTTTTTCATCAGTAATATTTGTTTACATTTGTACAATTGTGTATATCTTCTATTACAGATGTGCCAGAGTTAGTGCGAGAAGGAACCTGTCTATCCGACTCCACCTCAGAGGAACGCTCACTCAGCTCATACACATCGGAGTCCTTTGATGACAATGGTACACTATCAATATCAATATCAATATCAATATCTGAAATGGATGAGCTCATTAGACACTGATCATAATCAAACTTCTCTCACGTCATATTAACAGTTTTTTGTGCGTCGTCAGTGATTCATCAGAAATAAGCAGCTATGTTTGATACGATCGAACCATGCATGGCCCTTATTGGCTAATCCACCCATCAATCCCATGTGTGTGAAGTTTTCAAGCTGCATGTCTTTGTAAAGTATTTCAGAAGTGTATTCTTGGCTTACAATACAGAATACAAATGTCTTTATTGCAATGCACACTCATATTTTCTTTTACTCCAAAGAAAAAATGCTATTGGAATCAGAGCTTGTCTATACATCAGTGTAACACATAATTTTCAATACTGTACACGATCATTTCAATCTGATTTTAAGACTCCACATGCTATTCCTGCAAGTCTACCACACACATTTGTCTTCAAGGTGTTTATTTCAATGCCTTTCCCGGATGCTACAGCTTGTTTTCCCCCTGATAACTCACTGCCATTGATCTCTGGCTAAATATAACAGGTTGGAGTCCCACAGTAATGAGCACGTGTGGGTGTATGTCATAAGATAAGACTATGTTGTTCCTTTCCTTTATAATTACTGTTTGCTGAGAATCCTGGTGTCCTCTGTCTGTGCCACATGCACCTATAGGGCTAGCATACATGTCAGATATGGCTGTTAGTCGTGACATGTTGTTTCCCTGTGTGCAAAAATAATAAGTCTCCTCCCAGTCAGGGCATATGCATGTACTCCATGTTCTACCACAGCAATATGAGAAAAAAAAGAATTGTGTTTATGAAACTAGTTTCAAATCTGACCTAACTGTGGATAAATGATCTCTGAGAAATTTAGAACTGTGATCTTGTTTCAATTTCTAATTTATTTTTAGCAAAAATTCTGTTCCCCTGTCCCAGTACATATTTTAACACAGACATTAAACATTAAGATCTGACAGTAAGTAATTGATAATAGACAAATATACACTGCAGATCATTTGCCATGGAAATTACATACATCTAGTGAGCATCTTTGATCATTCTAATTTTAACTTCTTTTTGAATTTGTGCCCACTTGGTTCAAACAATTTCCCAATCAGAAATTATGTTAGGTGAAAGATCATAAAATAATGTATTTGTTTTGTTTATAACGTTACTACACTCACTACACTACACTACTACACATCAAAATTGTTATATATTCTGCAGTCAATTAGTCTCACTGATTTCTTTCTCTGCTTTCTACAGCCTCCATAGTAACTGTCATACGTCTTGTCAACGATGCAGTCAACAATATCGAAAATGAAGGTACTATGACGTTTTTCTGTACACACTGCCCGTCTATTATTCAGAAATGAATTGAGAATAGAGTTTTTCCCCCTCATTCAGAAAACTACATAGATGGCCAATATTTTTGTCAGTAGGCCTACATATGACACAAGATCTCTTCTTTCTTATTTGGTCTGTCTGTGTGCTGTTTTGTTCTCCCTCTGTCTAACTCTCTTTTTTCTCTCTCTCTCATCACCTTTGTAGTGTCAAACATGGACAAAGAACCGCGGCGGAACAGTCCTGGTGAGTGAGATGCAAACCCAACCAAAAAACATCTTATCCAACCATCCCTTTTGGTTTGTTTTTCAAGCCACAAGCCTCTGAACCTTTTGTTTGCTCCATTTTTGTCATACTTAATCACTCCTTGTGCAGAAGAGATTGCCTTTTGTGTCGCGAGTCTTTTCTTTGAATGTAAACGTCGAGTTTCTTCTCGTTTATGGACTTTTTACTACTCGCCTCCAGGCAGCTCCCAAATAACAGTCAAAATGAAACCTGATATATATAGTTTTCAGAATGATAAAAAGTTAGGACTGTTGCCACAATTAACAATTAAAAACTAAATATGATATATTTTGAATAGAAATAGAGGACATTTATATAACGGGAAGCTGAAACCCTTGTCCAATGTTACTCGCAAGTTTAATCTACATTATGTTGTGCACATTTTAACTGAAAACACAACAAGTTTTAAAATTTGTGGACATTATATTTATTTATTTATTGTAAGGCTAGCTGTACATCCAAAGCACAGTATTGTGCCTTGCCGGTCAGATCTTGACGTCATCAGTTTCTGTAATGTCAACTTAACCTATTTCCCAGAGTGAATGATTGTCTGTTATTGTAGGTTCGTGCTTGTGGGGCTGAATCTTAACAGAAAAAATTACATTCTCATTTTTAGAAAATGTCTTTTTAAGAATACAGTAATATTGGCTCTTACCCTCAATCTGAGATCTTGACATAATCAAATGTTATAAAATGAACCTCACCGATTTCCACAGTGAATGACTGTCGCCCAATATTTGTCTTTCTGTCAGCCCCCATAACTACCTGAGGCCCATATGTTGCAGTAAGGACTGTTGGTGAAGACCTATTCAAGAAAATAGTCTAAAATGAAACACAGATATTTTCTGTGTGTAGGATGTTTATTTGTATGAGCCAAGGACAAAGCAGAGAAAATATTAACCAGCCCTGAATGTTTGAGCTGCCTCTTTAACCTATTGAGATACTGACGCCCACCTTCACTTTAAACCAGCCTACACATTAATGTCATGTAATGACTACAGGTCATTATTAGGCAGCTAAATAAACTTGACTACAATTTACACAATACTTTAATACATAATTTCCTTTCTGGTACAATATGTAGTATACTAGAGAATTAAGTTTTAAAAAGTGGATTTATATCAGCCAAACGCATCATTCTTTATTTTCCCTAAACTGCATATAAACATTTTTGTACCAGTGACTGCCACTGAGGGTAGGGCTGGTAAGTGCACACATCTGTAAAAGCCTCACTTAAAGTATCCTTTGTTGCAAGCATGTCTAAATTGTTAATAAGTATAATTTTGATCTAAAATAAATTTAAAAGATTAAAGCTCCTGGTCACTGAGGTGTAGCAATAGACAGTTTAACCAGAGCCTGCAGCACCTCTCTGAAGTTTCAGCTGCTTCAAGTCCAGTCCCACGATGCACAAAATGATGCACAACTGAAGGCCATTCTTTCACTTCACTTTATAAGAAGAAGAAGACACCAAACAATTTAGACTATATTCATTAGCATGTAATTAGTGGCTCATTGTTCAAAGTGAGGGCTATTTAACTAACAACCCAGTGTTTGATTACATAATTACACATTGTAGAGATGTAGGGCTGAACAATATGCATAAAATTAAGAACATGCTCGAGTAAAACCATGTATTTTTAGTCAAATATGTCCAAATAAAAACTGAACAAAACCAAAGCTGAATGACAACATAATTAACCGCAAAATCTGTAATTAGTTTTATTTGGGTTAAAGTAACACTGTGCAGCTTTATTAAGGTGTCACATGTGTGTATGATTCGTCAGAAATTGAGAGTTAAAACCATACTGAAAACATTTCTCAATAGAACTTGAAGTTTTATTCCCTACTGTAGATTAGTGGATCCAAAGTAACAACAGTTTCATGTTACACAACACCATATGAAGTGTAAACACCAGCATATGGCCAATAATGATGAGAGACTTTAAGGGAACAACAAAGGAATAGATCCTCAGTGTCCTTTAGGATTATGGGGTTTCCAAATATGACTATTTTTGTTTGTAACCTAAAGCACTATGACCTGTTTACATGTGTCATTGATGCACTAAATGGCTGCCTTCCAGACCCCTTCTTCTGTACTGTCTCTTCCCTAGTGTCATTCTTCACTGTGCTGTCTGTTTGTGTGGCGAGAGTTTCATCATCAAAGCTTTGGTTCCATCACATATTTGTTTTGTTTTGTACTTCGATCACAGTGCGCCGCCACCAGCCCAGCAATGATGAAATTTGCTTAGAGTTCGTCAAAGAATACCTAGTGGATTGTAAGCTCATTTATCTATATTATACCCTGTAACCCCTTTACTGTCTACCCAGAACCGAGGTTATTCCAGCAGCTCGCCGTTTGCTCTCTGATGTTGTGTGGCTTGCTGGCAGTCACAGTGACTCACACATCTCCATTGGCACACACAAAACATTATATATTTTTACCAAGAGCTGGAAAGGCTAATGAAGAGCAAGCACCATCCCACACAGGCAACCCTCTGGCTATCCTCACTTCGTCAATATGAGATTTTTTTTCCTCTCCCCTCATTAATTTAAGTATGAATTATGCAACCGCCTGCATGCTGTGTGTTGTCCTTCTAGATTAGTGTTCCATGTTCATACCTGTTGCACTTCTTTTTGGTAGAATTCTTAAGAAGTCTTGTTTTATATGAAATATTTAGCAACATAAAATAGTCCCACAGATGCAGTGCAGTGGTAAATATTGACACAGCAGAGGAGGTAATTATGAGCTTGTTTTCACACAAGGCATAAATTATAGTTCAGATTGTTTGAAGTGGGGTTACGTGAGGTTCTTATCCATATTTAATGTTTGATCACACGTAGCAGGCACATTGTGAGCGCTGGGAGGAATTTTCCATCTGGAGTCATAGTGAAAGAACCTATTCCCACTGACCCAAGGCAAACGCAATAAGCTCCCAGGACAATCACTACTGTACCACATAGGGGTGGGGTGTCTCATTCATCAGTATGTATGGGAATGTGTAATTACAATTCACCAGCACACCTGCAATGCCTTTCTCCTGACTGTGGAGACTGAGCTCATACAGAAAGCACGCTAGTTTCAGCAAATAGGAATGCATCGAAAAACACTGGCCTCAAGGATTTATTTGGGAAACACGTAAAACTACAAATTCAATTAGCTGTAAACTGAAAACATACACATAAAAAAACAAAAAAGCTTAAACATAAATATGCACTGTTCAACTTTTCTGGTGGAGGGTCTGATCCCTACTTGTTTTCGTGGAGATGTTATTGCTTTGCCACATATGGTATCTATAAAAACAAGCATGTGACCCGACCAAGCAAGGTTACAGTCTAGATCTATGGAGAGGTGACTAGAGGTGAGCAACAAAAACAACTTAAATTGAATGAATGCAAGATGAATACATTTAATGGCGTACTGTGCAATATTCCAGATAACAAGGCAATAATGTCATAGAGATGAGATGATAGGGGACCCTCCCCCAGAATGTTACACAGCGCACCTTTAATTACTTTAAAGGTGCACTGTGAACCAGAAAGGTCACAGGGACATTACAATCCATCTAAACCAAAGGTGTGCCATATAATTCTGCTGGTGCAGCGTCCACCACCTGTCTCTATGGAGACATTAGTGTTTTGCGTGGAATATTCCACAGTCAGGCATTAAACTCATCAATCTTCCGTTGGTACACTTTTGGTGTTTTTATTTTATTTCAGGGTTAAAGGTGCACTGCGTAACTATTTGTGGCCATGGAGATATTACTGCTTAAAGAATGTTCCAGCATATGACAATAAACATATCTTTTTAGTAGCCATTTTTCTTACTGTGAGCAGGGTTTCCTCTCCACAGATCTGACCTGTAACTCTGGGATGGTTGCTTGTTGTCATAAAGACAGATAAAGTTAATGCTATACTATGGAACTTTCTTGGCAAAGCAGTGACATCTCCTAAAAGACAATCAGGTGGTGGATCCTCTACCAGTTAATTTACATAGTGCACCTTTAATGAGTAAATAAAGACCACAAGTGCAAGTTCATTCACTGGATATTCTATTACAAAGGGTGTCACTTTTCATTCCGTTTATCAAAATTTTCCAGAAAGCCTTAAAAGAGTATAGACATACAGTACATACACTTGACATCAGATCACAGAGATATGGGTCATTTTAAACATTTCCCCTGTGTCGTGTGAGCTACTTCCCCTCCATCTTAATAAATAGGGACAGTGGTGCTATTGCTTTAGAGCCGCATTGATTTATTGACACCTGCTAATGGGTCATAATGTCATTTCTGGCTTACAGTGCGGAAAACCAGTTAGTGACACAAGACACACATTTGAGTTATATGTATTCTTTGCCTTGGCAGGTCCTGAGGGTGGGTTTGACTTGAGAAGAGATTCATATACACCTCATTTAGGTGCTGTTAAGAAAATGCTATTTGACAAGCTTGATAGCACAAAGCAAACAAGTACAAATAAAGTTAACTCATCTGTGTCATCTCTCAGACGTCCAGGTATGATAAATGTCTTCGCTGTAAGACCTTTTCCAGTTGACAGATTTGAATTTTTCTTTTGCTATTTGAGTAATTTTGGATTCTTGTCTCTCTAGCTTCACAATGGGAGTCGTCCAGTCAGTCTGCAAGTTGGTTATCACCCTCACGCCTGCGCCCGCCTGAAATGGGGTCCCACTATGACCCAGATGACACCCAACAGACTATCAGGAGGGGGGGCAGCACAAGGTCCCTACAACTTGATTATAGAGTCATGAGTTTTGGGAGCAACGGAGATAGAGGAAGAGCAAGAGGAAGTGGTGAGATACATTATTTAAACCAATCGCCATGCTCCATTTTGTTGTTTCATTATTAGACACGCTGCATGAAAATGTTTAGTTTTCAGCTAAATGTGTTTTTGTGAAGTTACTTATCTGTTAGGGCCACTGTGCCATCTGCTCCATTTCTTTTCCATATCAATGTCTTCAGTGTGAGACAACAAAAACTCCTCCTTGTCCTGGTTTACTTAAAAACAGCCAAGTAGTGGGAGTTTTGTGGCATGTTTTCAGTGTACATAACATAAGTATAGACTATTTTTGTTCTTATTAAAAACAAGAGAAGACAAGTAATTAGAATTATATTGTGTGGCAACAAATTATCTCACAATAACACAAATAGAATGTCAGGGTTTAATTAAAGGTGCATTATGTATCTTTTCTGCTTGTCTCTATAGAAATGTTGTTGCTTTGCATGGCAGTTCCAGAGTCTGGCATATGATTTCACTTGACTATCATGCATTTATTAAATTCCAGGTGTTTTTATTGCCAAAAATACACTGAGCAACTGGCACTCACAAATCTGACCCGTAACTTTTCATGAAAATAGATAGAAATTTGCCAGGCTGGTGCCACCTAGTGCCTCCGCTCAATTTCATTTCTCTCCAGCAACTAGGTCCGCAATTGGAAGACACTAGACGGTTTGCAAGAACCCCAGAAGTTGGTCAGTCAGCAAAGAGCTGTGAAGCTATGACTGGGTCCTTTTTTGTGGTACAGCACAACAGTAATAAAGCAGTCGAGATGGATGTAGACGAAGCCATACATTCTGTGTTGGCAAGATGGAGAACTTAAAGCCAGAACAAAGAGAATGTTTGGTGAATTTTATCAAGGGGAAAGACCTTATTGCCCTTCTTCCTATGGAATCTGGGAACAGTTTAATATACCAGTTAACCCTGTTAGCGGTGCATTACATACGTTACGACCAAATAGCATCGACTGGTTAAATTAAAAAAGTACTCACCTACCATCCAGCGAACAATACTAATACTGTGAGGTCAGACGGTTTCCACGAAGTGAAACCAGCTGATGAATCAGGCTACAAAGACATAGCATCTCCATGGAAACAGGCAAAAAGTTACATAGTGCGCTTTTAAGTCAAAATACAATTAAATGTTTTTATATTCTTTAGGTAAGAGGCTGTTCCAGTGGGAGAGGAACCAGTCGGGTGAATGGGAGCGGAGACGAGTTCTCGAACATGAGACAAAAAACAAGGAGCATGACAGAGACATGTGCAATGACTCTCCTGTATATGAAGAATACAGAGAAACCAAACCAGGAGACCAAGACACAGAGGGCCTGTACGACACTCTACCCCCGACCCGTCCAGCCTACGAGGGGTACCCATCCAGCCCGCCAGGCCTCAACCTCCATCCCGCCCAGCTCTTGCCCCCCCTGAGGGCTTGGGAGCTACAGACTGGGGAGTGGAGGCGGAGCTCAGAGGAGGAACAGGTGGAGGTGACTGCTGCCACACTGTCCGGACCAGGGGACGAACTAGAAAGGCTTTTGAACCTGGTGTCGCTACGAGCCAGGAGGGCCACCCGGATAAACCGCACCTCTACGGGATCAGAGCCAACCAGTGGATGGGACTCCTACCACTGAGCACCTCTGTTATATGAGACTAATTATTCCTATGAAATAATGTAGGCAGTGACCCGAGGTTTATCACACTTGACATTAATCAAACACCACTATGTGAAAAATGATAAAAAATATTTCCATAGTTACGTTTCATTACGTGTAATTATCCCACTTTAATCAAGCACTAATCCACTGCAAATCCAGGCTGAGGACAATAAGCTGCAATAGATGCTATCAACCTTTGCTACTTGAATAGTGTGAATAATGAGAAACGTTTTCATACCTTTTCAAAGACCATTTATTAAAATATAAAGCATTTCTATTTTTTTAGTATTAAATCTATATGCTCTACCACCCACATCTGCAAAACTGTTTGGTCCAATAATTCTTATACATCAACCTATTTTAATGTTCAAGAGCTATTGGGACCGGCACAGAAAGTACATGAGCTAGCTTCGATACACAGTCAGTATACTGCAGGTGAATTGCTGTGTTGAAAGCACGCCAAAATTTGGAAGCTCCGAATGAAGAGTTAAAGTTTGTCTTAAAGCTGAATTTGCACCTGAATAGAGGACTGTTACTATATGCCTCATTGTGAATGTAAAGGTGTAAATGTGTTCCTATGGAGAATTTAAATGTATTTCTTTTTTATTTTGTAACTCTTCTTTTTCATGTTGAGAGACCATGCCGTCTAGCTTATAGATTTTTTTTCAACTTGGAAAACGCTTTATAATAATTACACTCTAAATAAATAGTTATGGATTAGTGAGCTCTGACAAGTAATTAATTATACACAGTGCACATCCTCAACATATTTACCATTATGTTACAAGTGGGATTTGCATTTCATTTTCTTTGGTATTTGTGTATTTTGTTCCTGAGTTTGTGAGAAGTGTATGTAATTTAGTGTATGAAAATATGAATCCTTTGTATTTATTGCTTAAAATGTATAGTAAAATGTCAATGTTTTTATAACTATATTAATTGAAGTAAATCCAGTAAATGTTATCAGCAATGAGGTGTTTTTGTCAGATGTTCTTTTAAAATGAAACAGACGGTGATATCCACACAGTTTGGTCCCGTTGCAGCGTAGATACTCTGGTGCTTTGGTACACCGGTGAGAACATACTCCCATCTGCTGAATGTACATGTGCTGGTTTCTTTACATAGCTCACTGCACTCAATTTACCTTGAGAAAAATCACTCCACTAAAGCCATACATCATCCAATTTAGAGTATTTTAATTAGAATTTACACAATGTCCCTGAGTGTAAAATAAGCTGATGCAAGTGTTTTCCCAACCGTGGTACTGGTCTATGTGGGTATTATACATGTGTCAGTCCTGCTGTGTCTGGATAACATTTGCTTCACTGCCATTTTGTAGGCTTAACTTAGACAAGTAGGGTGAGCACATCAATGGATTTTATAAGTGTCAAATCAGGTGCTTCTCCAAGACAAGTGAATATAATTAAAATACAAAATCAGCCTCTTACTGTACAAAAAATGTGTCACACAGGCTTGAATAAAATGTCCAAGGCACACTGATTACAAAAATAAAAGTCATTTATTCAAATGAGACACCATTTTGTAGGTTTATTCTGGTTTTATTGTAGAATGAAAGGCATAATGAAGCTCATTCTGTCTTTGTTCATTGTTATTTTGTCTTGTTTTACAGCAGTTTTAGACATGTTTTTGTTCTTGTCATTTTTGTCTACATTTAGTTCTCATTTAGAACTTACTTTAATAAAATTGGATCTTAATAAATGCATAGTTAGAGAAAATGGCAATAGAATTCTATTGTGTAGAAACAAACTGCACCAGAATAACACAAAAATAATGCCAAGGTGTAATTAAAGATGCACTAAGTAACTTTTGTGGTGGAGGGTTCACCAGAGATGTTGTTGCCTTGCTGGAATGTTCCAGTGGTATTTGCCTTGTCTATCATGCATTTATTATATTGCAGGTGTTTGTATTGTACATACATGCCAACATGCTCCCATGTGAGTGCCGTCTCTCCCCAGATCTGATCTGACCTGTAACTTGGTAGCTGCTTGACATTTTTTATCTAGATTTAGTTCTAATTTAGTCCTGTTAGACTCAGCTTTAGCATCGGTTTAGTTTGTTTGTTTTACTAATATTGTGTTGTGGTCATGTGTTCATTGTGTTTATAAGACATCCCAACATTTTAACATGCCCACAGTTTAAAATTGAGGAGGAGCTCAATAGCGTTTCTCTTTTAACTGACAAAATACAGATGTTTAGGGTATGTAGGGTAAACATTTCCAATGGTCTACATGAAACCGAAACTGGCGCAAAGGTAACTGTGTCCTTACAGCACAAATGAAGTTAAAATTATTATACATTTTCAATGTGTATTTTGTCTCAGACTTAAATCAGAAGATTAATATGGCAAGTGTAAGCATACTGTAAGCATACTTGAACACAAATACTTTCTAATTCTCAACATATTGTCCAGTCAAACATAGTTTTATTTACTTTCAGGTTATATATCTCCTCCGGCAGTGCAGCTTTACTCACAAACCTCCTGTATACTTTGTACATAATCTAAATTTCCTTCTTCCCACCTGACATTTCCATGTGATCCCCACTATGAGCTTAAAGGCTTTAGGAGTGATGTGAATGTAGCCGTGAAGTACAGGCGCTCATGCATAAACATACACATGGTTGGTTTTGCCCCATTGATAGCAGTGAAATGCTTCCACTCATTCATGCTTAACCAACATAACAGGATTAAACGTGGTTTTAGAAAGAGTATGTTGTTAAATGGCAGTCCAGAAAATAACATGTTGTAAACAAGATCTATTAGGCATTTGCTCTGACTAAAGGATGTACTGAATATTTTAAATAGGTTGTGATTATAGTGTCTTCTTGAAAATAAAGCAGTCATCATTTACTGTCATAGTTTAAAATGATAATTGTATACTGATATAGCTGGCAAATATAAGGAAAGCAAAGTATTCAAGCTCAACAGTTCAAATAAATGATACAGAACTATTGTGGGATAACAATTCTGCAAAGACAAAATGTGCCTTTGCCTATAGCAAAATATATATTACTTTTCAATTGCCCAACAGAGAATGGAAACAAAGAATGTTTTGTTACTAAGCTGAAATGGGCAGTGGTCAAATGGTGATAATATTGTATGGTAAAGCTTTTAAAATAGAAATATCTTAAAGGGCTCTGTACAAAGTGAACAAGAGTGACTACTGCTGCTATGTGACAAATGTCACAGAACTTTTGTATCCTAATCATGATGGACATAGCCGAGAAGCTATTGTCTTCAATTGGTACGGTAATAAAATGTATTGGTCAAAGTCAAAATGCACTGCAAAACTTGTATGACATTAAAGATATCTTCCATTTATTTATCCATTACATTTTATTGCTAAAGAAATACTAAAAACACATGCATTCTTACAGCATGGTTGTCTTTATACAAATATGACCTGTTACTTGTAACCTGTAACTCCCTGCTGTGGAACAAGCTGGCAGACCCTCCACTAAAAAAGTCAAAAGAGAAACTAAATATTTTTAAGCACAGTTATTACTGATAGCTAAGGGCAATTGTGACCTTTAATAAAATGGGTTTATGCAACTGAGCAGATTTAATGTACATTGTATAAATTTCAACAAACATCATCAGAGCCAAATAAAGGGAACAAAATGCTTTAGAGTTGTTGTCTCTTAAGAACACTAAAATAAAATAAATAATATTTAATAGTTGATGGTAAAACACCTAATTACTCTTTCTGAGATGTGCATTTACTGCACCTCAATTTCCTTCACTGTTGAGTCACACGTCCTCGGTGACATTGCGATGATCTCCCTGTTTATAATCAGCTTTACTTGGGTGAATGGTGCCCATATGTGTGTTAAATAGCAGTTAATCCTGGCATGCCAGTCATTCATATTTCACTCTCAGCTGTCGACTGTAATGTGACAGGTTCATTTTCTAAATCCAAGGCTTAACAGAAGAAAAAACACCCATCATTCCCACTTTTGGGAATTTGCAATATCCTTTTCTTTTGAAATATTTACTTATCATTTAAGATTTTAAGACTGTTTTAGATGGGGCTTGGCCACATTACATTTAAGTTTCTTTATGATTTTTCTCTTAATAAAAACTAATTAAAATGTCCTTCAGTATTGATTTCCTGAACTTTAAACAATACAGACTTAATTAATGTCTGAACACTGCTCTGAACCATCTGCTCTACTGACAGTGGATTGTTGTGACCCAAGCTAATCATTGACAGTTAGAGATGAGTGACTCTTGAATGTGATGAATTGCACAGCCCTGCTTTTAGATCTATATTTCAGGAATAGAACACATAAGACTTTGGGCCTTTTTGATTTCGTGAGGTTTTGGCTGTACACTGCATCTGCATTAACCAGGCCATGATCAAATTACACAGAGTAATGGTCTAGAGGTGCACAACTAAATATATGGTTCTGCCATTATACGTACACAAAGGTTTATGGGTCTGTTTGTCATGAAATAAACAATGTATGACCACCAATGAAATCCCAAGTCATTATCAGTGGGGAGAGAATGGTCCAAATTTCTGCCGATAGCTATAAGAATACAGCGACCTTTATATAAAATGAGCTTTGGCAGTTGACTAGATGTTTTAGTACAAATGCTGCTCAAATTGCATGATCAAAATTAGCCTTTAGGTTAAACTGAAAAGTAATTATTAATTTATTGCTTAAACAATCTTATGCATGTGTGACATTATTTTTCGTCTCTGGATAAAAAAGCAACTGCTGTATCTCATATCAGAGCCAAGACAACATTTTAGTAATAAATGTTTAAAGCTTGTAATTATGTTTTTATTTACCTGAATTCCTTGTTGTATAAAAAGATTTAATTAATAGCTTCACACATTTTACCAAGAAAAGAGGACAGATTATCAGGTCTACGCCATTTTAATAGGTTTTAATAATACATGTTTTTACACTTGTCAAATTACAATAGCACTTCCTATCTCTGTAATATG